TATTCGAGGTATTTGAGTGAAAATTTCACACCTAACATTTTGGACCAATAGAAATCCTGTATTTTGCATCATTACCATATAGCAACTGAATAAATTTCTTGTAATTTTTTTCCTCCTCCATGGGGGAAGAAGCGTAAAATACAATGGACATGTTTTGACGTTTATAGGTAAAATGTTGACATTCAACTTCAGATTATGTCGATTTACTTTTATAAGGTGATGAGAAAATACACTTCTACCAACTTTAGCCAAATTAATTCGTGAAAAACTGAGAGATTCAGCTAATACCGATTTATTTTCTATCATTTCATTTAACTGAAGTCGTTCAGTCATATATTTTATTTAACCTAATCATATTAGTTATGAGCAAATTTCATTGCTACCATTTGATACTATAAATAGTACTCTGAGTTTCTAGTGGGTGAATATATTTCTACCAACTTTAGTATAGAATGAATTTGCGAAAAACTGAGATATTGAGCCACTACCGATTTATTTTTTATTACTTTGTGTAATTGAAATATGTTAATTGTGTTTTACTTTAGCTAACAATGTTATGGATATGAATTATTTCAATAGGTACTACATACTGTCCTCTTGTAACAAAATATATTTCTACCAAATTCAGTGGAATAAAGTTAGTCAAGAATAATATTTTGAATTGCCACCAAATGATATTATTTTTGATATTTTGCGTAACTAAAGTCGGTATTTCGTATTTTATTTAGAGTAATCTTATTCTACAGTATATTTTAAATTCAGGTGTGAAATTTTCTTACCGAATACCAATCTAGCTCCCATTGAAATCCGGAAATTCTTTCTCGGACACGAATATTTAGAAAAATCTCTCTTGCTTGCGATTCGGGAAAATTCTCAAAATCCTCGTGTGCTCGAAAAAATTTCCGGTGATAATTGAAGCTCTTGTGGTATTATAACTGAAAATTACGTTCAATTTCGATGATAGTACAACAGAACTAACAGAAGTGATTATCAGATGTTTACAATTTTTCTAGAATATCCCCGATTATTTTGTTAAATTTTCAATATTATTATAATGAAGACATAATAAGCAAGGTTGTTCGGTTGTTTCCAAGAATTCATTGTTCCTTCGGCTTGTACTTAATTCTTCCAGTACTAAAACAAAGAAACTATTGAAAAGAAAATACCTAATATATAGCGAGTTCAATTATCATGATATTTTTAGAGCCTAAATGGAACAGCGAATCATTGTCCAAAATTATTTTCAATATCGTTCAGATCTGGAGAATCTTTATTTTATATAATTTATATTAGATGTGATAAGATCTTTAATATACTATTAATGATATTCTTATGACGTAAGAGAACTCTTATAGAGTAGGTAGCCAAATAATTTTATAGAATTAAAACTGTAGGCATGAACTGTAGACTGTATCATATTATTTGGTACTCGATATTCTATCAACTTGAAACGAAATACTGATTTTTTTCATCCTCAATCATTGATAATGGACCTGCTCGTTTAATGATCGAGTAGATCACGATAGATGAGAACTTTTGAATATTGCTACGAATGTCTGGATATAAACTGCGTGACAAATAATGTGTCCACCTAAATATTTCACTTAATTTCGAAATCAAATATTATAACAAATATTAGTCCGATTCTGGAACGGTTTGTGCCATGTTGTGTGATAATCGTTCAAGAATGAGATGGTCTACCTACTACTACTACTACAATTTTTAATGAAATATCTTCCTGAATAATAACTGATCCTTAAAAAGTGTGGAGACGTCTTTGAGCAATCAATTTTCCATTTTCTCATATAATAATAATACCAGCATACATAGGTAGATTTGATTTTTTGTTTTCAATCTTGTTCTGATGTCTATATAGAGATGATAGTATTTCGTTTCAAGAAATAATGGATATTCCGATAGTTTCTTCCCCTTTATATAGTCCATAGTGACCGATGATACTATTGAAACTAGCTGCAACTTCTTATATCGTTTTGTGACTATTCATAATTGTATGTTGTTGCGATATAGACCTGTTAGGCCAGGTGGCTGTATTATTGTTATCATTTAATATTGACACTATATGTTTATAAATATTTTGTTATTTATTGAATTTCAATAAAAGATTGCTTGGACTTTTTTCCTATTCTTTGGAAAATACCATCAATAACCTTCCTTTCACATCCTATATGTGGGTTTGTGGGTATAGGTTTACTTTAGCATTTTATTTGAATTCCTTATACTTGGCTTGCATGTGTTCAACTTCCGATTATATAATCACTAAAAAAATTATCGAAAATAATAGATACATATTTATATAATTATTGTTGTAATGCGGTCAAATCGGTTAGCGTAGACACCCTCTTTCAATGATAAATTAATCTTATTTAATATCCACTTGATTCGTCTTGTTTCAATATAAGTACCTAGGTATATGTACCTACAAATCTACAATATCATCATTACTACGATGTATCATTACCTAATATTTTTGCTCCGATTACTATATATTCTTATCTGTAACTTTTATTCTTGCAGATTATACTGGATTGCTACGATCCGCGATAATACGCGATTACTGTAACTTCATGTTGATACAAGATTTTTATGTCATGATCACGAACTTCCATAATCGTGGGAAATGTACAGTGGCGGATACCATAGTTACAGGCGACATAGATTAAAGGTGCATTTCTTCCTAGGCAACCGTTTGACAATAGTATATTGTTTAATGAGAATAAAGTTTGCATCATGAGCCGTAGTCGATCGCCTCAAGCGGTATTCCGCTGTCTTAATAATTAGATTATTCAATTGAAACTTTCAAACTGAAATATAATAATATATATGACGTAGGAAAAAACAAAATACCAATTGACACTACTGGCCCAGTGCCGGCTGAATAATAGGCAAACGATTACAATACAACTTGGCCATGGCCAGTAATCTGCCGATCTATCATGTACTGGGTTAGATGGCAGCCAGAGATTTTATGTTTGCTGGGCCCTTATCAGCATCATATCAATGTTGTAAAAGAAACAAATGAATGTCAAACAAGATAGAAGCTGAAATTTTATAGTACAGTGCAGACTCGATAATCCGAACTAATAAAAACCAAGGCGATTCGGATTACCAAAAAATTCGGATTACCGAAGCAGTTTTTTTTTTAAATTTCTTATTACGAAATGCAAAAAAAACATAAATACGAAAAAGTAACACTAAGGTATGCATAAAAGTAAGAATATAATACTAGTTTCTAAAGTAATTTGTAATTTTTGTTTGCTTAACACATCTTTGATTATTTATAAAGGCCATTTCTTTTAATCTTTGAAGTACAAGAATATCATTTAACAGAATATTATTTTCTTCCTTGCGTAATGTGAATCCCAGATACTAACAAAAGAACAATTAGGGAAATCCCTGAACATTTCACTCACAATTTATATAGGAAATAAATAGGCCTAAAGGTATAGGTTCGGATTATCCAGTACTATGAAATTCGGATTATAGAGTACTCAATGTATTAAAAATGCTTGTTCGGACTACTGAAGAATTCGGATTATTGAACGTTCGGATTATCGAGTCTGCACTGTATATGCAAAGTCAGTTGAAACAGATCATCAAATAAATGTCGAGCCGCGCTGCCGCTCTCTTTGAACTTTCAAAGGGGCCGACGGCAGCTTTCATCAAAGAGAATGCAAAATCTATCCCCCTGTATATAGATTAATTTGGATTTGATATGAAATGTTTTTCATGCACATTCGCGATAGTTATCTGCCCTACGAATCTCATTATTCCATAAAATGTTTGAAAAAAAAACCTCTGTCTCCCCAACTGCTATATAACAGAGAAGGGCATAAAATACGGCCAGTGCTGTGAAAATTGTACCAAACTGCTCACACATTGACGAAACAATTTTTGTTCAATCACTTCTGGTACTACCCCAACTTTAGATTTTTAAATGGGAAACCCTGTATATATTTCATTCCATAATAGGTCACGGATATTATTATCACGAGAATATCTATGCTCAGTGTTTCCAGCAGCAAAATCATGTCAGATCCATCGAAAAGCTGCTTCTCAAAAACTCGGATTTTCATACCGCAAGCGAAAACCTACTTTACACCTCAACCAGTTCTTAATGATCTACAATAAAGCACAGGGCCTGTTTTAGTTGACTTTTACGACGTAAGGGTTCAGTTCTCAAGCATACGCTGTTACTCGTAGATTTTACCATCCGGAGAAGAGTCATTTGCCTGGTGGGTGATGCCACACTCACTAATTCTTTAACATTATTGGAACACCGTAGAATATAAGGTATATTGGCTATTATCTTTCACTTTTCTATAAATAGTTCGACGGGAACTGTCGTTCTTCCGAAATCTCTGTAATATAATATATATCATCATTCCATCACTATAGCAATACCAGTCCGACGAACTCGGCAAGCCCAGTCAGCACATCCTTTCGTCGTCACCCTTTGAGACATATATGAAACACACTTCCATCTATGCTTGAGATATTATGTCGAGCTACTCTTTCACCAAAACTCATTTGTCGATCTATAGATCGGCAAACCTTCGGAATTCTTTGCCTTGGGAAGTATGTTTTCCGAACATTATAGGAATTCCAGTTTTTGCGCCCCTGAAGATGAAATAAACAAAATTGTAAATTGTTTCTTGAAAATAATAAAAATGATGATTCGGAAGAGTTCCTGAATTCATCAAATTATAATTTTGTTACGCCACTGGCTGGAAACATATGACTTGACTGGATAGAGACCAAAGGAGGGGATTCCGTGGATTCGCGAATCGCGATCAGTCATTTCATTTGGGAATGTTCATGAGAAATTCTAACCTAACTTTTTAGAGGACGTTCTACGTTCTTCAACACAATTTTTTTCAATGACTTCTATCGAGACTTCTATATTTTAACTGCATTTTCGGTTCAAACAGCGTAAATAATTGAGTTGTTCACTAGTTTAGTTTGTAATGATATAGGTAACTATGGACTCTAGCAAAAAATATGTGAAACCCTCCCCAGAAATATCATCAAATATATGTTCCAGACTGTTTTATTGGTGAGTTGAATTCCAAAAAACTATTATATCTACCTAAAATGATGCTACATAATCATCTTCTTCCATAACTTCTTCATATTCAAGAAATGTTTTGTTTTTTAGTTGGTTTCTACCGTTTTTCAAATTTGGATTCCAGAATGATTTGCAGGTCAAAGATATATTCAATACTACTAAGTATGATTTGTCTGGATCCCTAGCAGATGAATTGGAAAGGTAAATAAATACTCATCATTAGCTAGCTAGTATTAGGATAAAATACCTCCTAAAACACAACATAATTATTATTATTAGATTATTATCAAGATCAAACAATTTATTTGCACATGGATTTTGCTATTTAAAATCAGATTTATCACAGTGTCTTTGAAAGTTCTTGGTAGTTTATTTATCAATAACTATGGGCCATAGGGTATTCTTTCAAAGAGGTGCTAGGAAGGAACTATAGTACTTGGTATAATCATTGAACATCATCATTCATAATAAATTGATAAGTTTGAAACAAGGGTTAAACTAACATATTCCAAATGTTTTGGAATGACTCAATCTGACCTGCAAACTGCTGAAATCTTGAATTGTTTCTCAACATTATCCTACTCTTGTACCTACTTACCTATCTTTCTAAATTAATTATTATTATATTTTCGAAATATGGTCTATCACTCTTTCTGATTATTCTGTTGGGTTAGGTGAGTATTATTTGCTCATAATATTCACCTGAAATATAGTTGTGTTTGTTTGAAGGAATTGGGACTATGAAATTCAGAAACAAAATGGAAAGAAACAGGCAAAACCAAGTTTAACAAGAGCCATTTTCAAGACGTTTTACAAGCCATATTCAGTTTATGGAATTTGGTTGTTCCTACAATGTGCTGTCATCAGGTAAGATAAAAGTACCAGATAGAAGAAAATCAAGTATCCTTTCTACATTGTTGAGAATCTCATTATTTCTATCACTAATATATTCTAGGATGCTCCAGCCCTTAGTACTAGCCCTATACATAAAGTTCTTTGATTCCACCTCAGAGGAAATGAGCCTGAACACTGGTTGGCTTCTGGGATCTGGGGTGGTTTTGATGGCATTTCTAAACATTGTCATCACTCACTACACCAGTTTGGGTTGTCAGAGAGTGGGTATGAGGGTTAGAATTGCTTGCTGTTCCCTTATCTACAGAAAAGTAAGTGGAAAATAATTCAAGAGTCATCTCAACATCATGGAGCAAAATATCTTAGCTTTTACAATTTCAGCAATTCTAAAATTCATTCTGAAAAGAAGAAAGATCAACATTTCTTGAGTATCAACATTTTTATTTATCAGGTGAATTTTGGGAAAAGAATAATGTGATAATTGTCCTATTACATTTCAATACTGAGCAAGATAACAATTGACATAGCAGACTACTACAGTAATTTTTAATTACTAAACCTATAGTGATTTCTGATTATTTGTCTTATCTTTGTTTTGATAAATATTTCCCTTGTCAGTGAACAGTTATTATCAGAAATGTTTGGAATGTGCTTGACATCATTACTGTGAAGTAGCCGATATATTCTCAAGGTTTCCAATCAAAATATATGTATAACCACTCAGCAATTCTTCAATATGAACAGGATGTTTAAGCATCAGGGAATTTTACTTCCAAGAAATTTGAAGCATGGTCTTATGATGAATGTTGTTTCCTAAAATAAAAAGTTACTGATAAGTTTTAATAATGAAAAATAAAAGAAATGAGTTAACCTACTTAAGGTACCAACCCAGGATTTTTTTTTAATGCAAAAATTGCTTAATATGTTTATGAAGATGATGAAGTTACAGGAATTCTAGACTAATAACTTCATGGCAAAATCTGTCATATGAATTGAGTTTGATTCATCGTTTTATGGCCTCCTATGATCAAAAGTACATCACAAAAGTCAGGAATCTATCATTATTTTTCATCCATCATTTCATTCTATCACAAATGTGCAAATGCGTCAATAAAAGTACAGGCAATTGACTGGGGATGTTGGAATATGTTGAAATATAAATAGATTGAAATGCATTATTGTTTTTATTTATTGGTCCTAGAAAAAATTGTGTATGAAACGATCATTTATGATGGCTATTAATACATGATCATTGCATAAAATACTATTGTTCATAATTTTTTAGCTCCTGAAGTTGAATCATACATCTCTGGGTCAGACAGCTGCTGGTCAGCTGGTCAATCTCTTGTCCAATGACGTCCTGCGTTTCGATTTGGCCTCGAACTTTCTACATTACTCATGGATAATGCCCGTCCAGTCTGTACTTGCTTTCTACGTCATGTACTCTAGTGTTGGTATAGCTGCCATAGCTGGCATGCTGGCTATCACCATACAGGCCATACCTGTACAAGGTTACTATACTTCTTTTTCCACCATTAGCTATAAAATCGACCATTATTTACTCCTTTTCGAGACGTAAAATGTGTTTTTACTACCAAGATAGTTTTCGTTTTTTTATGACACTAGTCGTCAATAAAGACATAACCACCTCTGTTATAATTAACCCGAATTGATCATTCTAGAACACGTGATTTTGACATGGTTTCTTGAGGGGCACACAAACTATCTGTTAGGTTACCTTTGATAAGCATAGCCCTGGCCATCCCGGCCACATCCACAATATGATAACAGTTTCACCAAACAAAATTATGAAATTCTTTCTGGTTGCAACTCGGATTCCAATAGAAACGATCCCACTTATTCTGGTTTCATATGACAAATCTTGACAAAATACTATGTTTGCCCCTCAGCAACCTGTCAAATGACGTAATTCTGGAATGATCAATGGGTTGCGTGCAAGAACTGTCAGATGACCGACGCTGGAGGCAAAACATTGAAACACAATGTCACTTTTCATATTTGTTTACAAAAGATCGAAATAGTTTTTCACAATTATTTTGGCATACGAATCGTAATTTGTGCTGTAGTAAAATGCACAAAAACTGCAGCGGAAGATGAAGGAATCCGAATGGTACATTATGATTTAAAAGTAAGTATCTACTATAGTCACTCACCTATAGTTTTCATTTTTGAAATTTGGTAATTTCTCTGATTTCTCATCGGAATTCCTTCTGAGATAGGAGCTAATAGAAATACACCTGAAATTTCTAAAATAATGCAAGAAGATTGGATTCATGCAATCAATCGGAAGGACTGGTCTGACATGCTGACGATCGTGTGTGTTGTAGACATTTTCAATCTAGCAGTATTAGCTTGTATTGCAGGAGTGGCAGAAGGCAGATGGAATTTTAATAAGGAATGACAACATTTCATAATGATAACTATGTGAGATTACTATTTACCTGAAAAATCATATTCCCTAGTCTCTTGCGGCATTTTTTGTGCATTGTACAACAGCACAATGCGAAGGCATGCTTGAATTAATGAATAGCGCAAAAAACACGATTCGTATGCCAATATTGTGAAAAACTATTTCAATCCTTTGATTCCTCTGTAACCAAATGAAAAAGTGAGGTTGTGTTTCAATAATTTACAGAAGAATGAGGTTGTGTTTCAATATTTTGCCTCCAGGGTCTGTCATCGTGCACGCGACCTATTCACTGTTCTGATGCGAGAATGGTAGAAATCTTGTAGGTATTTATCAATAATAACTTTTCATATACTGTCATGCTCATAGGTTTGTCCTCGTTCGAAAAATGTACGGTCCGAAACCATCAGGAGCATGCGCAGTTTCACAGAACTAGTGTTATTTTTCATGTTCCGTGGATCTGATGCGCATGCTCCCGATTGTTTCGGACTGTTTATTTTTCGAACGAGAACAAAGCTCGTGACCACTAGATTTTAATTAAAATTGAAAAGAAGTGCTTTCATTTAGTGACAATATCTTCATATTTCAATTTCACGAAACTACAATCATTTAAAGCGCTCACACGTGAGCACTAAGGGTAACGATTTTCGACCAATAAGCACAATCAAAGAACAAATGTGAAACAATGAAAACAAAGTGAACAGGCCGCTTTGGCATCTTTCAAGAACTCCGATAGGTGGCGTACGCTTATTTTTTATCGGGAATACGCACTTCCGTAGGTGTTGCAGCATATGATCATAAATCCGACGAACGAACAAATTCGTTTGACGTTTGCATATTTCTATAATCTATTGATCTGTTAGCAACAAATATCATATTACGAGCACTATTCACGCCACGATACCATACGATTTAACAGTTTCGGCAAACTTGAAATCTATGGATATGACGGTTTGATGCTACTGCTATTTTAACATGTTTCGGTGGCAGTTCAGTTCATTTTGAATGAACATATGACTGTGTCGTCATATATTCATTCAAAATGAGATAGAACTTCTTATAAAAGATGATACAGAAAAGGAAAAGAGAAAAAAGAGTAAAGGTGAAAATTGGTTCACAGTGGTGGTTCTGAATAGTTACCAGTAGACAGCAAAGGGTTAAATATATTCCTGTTGATGAAAAAAATGTTATACCACGGGATCTATTCTCCTCGGCTGAAGCCTCGGGATATAATCTTGGTCCCAAGGTAATAATGATATATTCTTTACTACCTTGGTGTATAAATAACTGTTATTTATCAAAGCAAATGAAATTCGACCGACTTCGCTTGACATATGGTCTTCAACTGTTCAGTTCTCGAGATTCGAGGTGTTGATGTTGGGAAATAAAAATTATTTTTTCTACAAACGTCAAAAAATGACAAGGTTCGCGCATTGATAACAAATTGCGAAGTGACACTTTTTTTCAGTTTCCTACGCTACCATGATACCTTGCACATAACAATGCGCGAAGTAAAACAGTGCGCGAAGTACCTACTTCGCGCATCGTTATGTAAAATATATGAGATATTTATATTTCAACTTCATGGTCCTCAATCGAGCAAACATCCACGAAATCATTTATTTCTGAATGTTCAACAATAACTTTGTTTCATCTCTTGGAGCGCACGAAAGGAAATTCCTATTATGTTCGTGGAACATCGTGCGTACCTAGGGAGGATAGGGGGAGGCATTTCAAGCCAGTTCAACACTATTTCTCATATCAAGCTGAGCATATTTTTACTTTAGAACTATATTTTTTGACGTTTGTAGAAAAAATTTTGTTTGCAACTCGAGCGCGAAATACTTTGGTCATCTCGACTATTTTTTTAACTCGGCGACGCCTCGTAAAAAAATTAGATCTCGATCACCAAAGTAGCATTTCGCACTCTAGATACAAAAATAACTATTTTTTCTGCTTGAAATAACCATTTTCCTACAAGCGTGCATGTGGAAAAGTATTGTTGTTTTCCTTACGATAATACTTTTCCGCACGATTTTTATCGGGGGTAATATTACGAGAGCTCAAATCTAGCCGGATATTTGTTGTGGTTGTTTTTGAATACTTACTTTCATTGGCAATTTAACGAGAGCTATTCTGAAAAAAATCACGAGAGCGTACATTGTTTTCACCACGTATTCTTTATAATCTTCCCCATTCTGTTTCTTCATATTGAAGCCCCAGTTCATCAATATTCCTGTCACATTTTTCACTGACTGTTCGGTTTCCAAGTCCTGTGGTTTACAAAATTCGCTAAATTGGTTCCAATTTAGGAATTAGTTCCTTTTGTATTATCTGAAGTTGATTTTTCAATCTTCTGTAACATTTCCAAATCTCCACATTCTTACTGGAATATCATTAGCAGTTTTATTCTGTTCTTGACATTTAAAATAATTTTCATACAGATTCGACATGACCTGATAAACGTTGCTATGGTAACATAATTTATCCGATTTTTGTATCCACTTGCTATTTAGTTCCTCCCTATTTGAGTGCAATTGTCTATGTAACTATTCTTTCTCTTGTGTCATTTCGTAGTTAAAATCTTGTTTATCAAAAAACTTTTTTTTTTTCATGAATAATATGGACAAAAACACTCGTAGGAAAAACATTGCGGAAAAGTAGTACATTCCGCACTTGTTAACTAAACAACTATTTTGTTTAGCTACAAAATGAGATCTGAAAAGTATCTTATCTACTCACTACCAGAACAATATTTCTGTAATTTTGTACTACTGAAAATGACGAAATATCAATATGAAAACTTCTATTTTTTGTCAAATATCTCGAAAACTGTTCATTTCAGCTCAGTTGAAGGTGAAGCATTTTTGAAACAAAATTTAACAATGAATTCGAGAAATGGAAAATTATCGAAATTTCATCAGTGGCGTAGAAAATATGGAAGGAAAAATTACCGCGTACCACTGGTCAAAAATTAAGCCATTCAGAGATGAAACCATATGGAGAATTTGAATGCAAAATATTCAATCATTCTTGAGTAATTGCGGAAAAACTATTTTTGTTTCTTAACTTCAACACCCTGTATCTCGAGAACTGAATACTTGAAGACCATATGGCCCTATCTCAAAAATCATTAAATCACGAGAGCTATCACTTGTCAAGCGTCGTCAGTCGAATTTCGAAACACCCTGTATATAAGGCACTGTTTCATCTTGTCTCAAATACCCTCATGAGGAATTTCATCTAATTTCATGTGAATATGTGGTTGAATAGATTGGACACTTTTTGAGAAACAGTCCTATTTTCAAACTGCATACATAAGAACAAGTTGTTTTTCAAAAATATGCATTTTTGTAAAGTGACCAAAACAGTTTCTTCGTTTTTTTTTTGTTTTCATGACAATATCAAAGTTTTGTTATCATGAAAACAATAATGTTCTCAGGACATTTTTATCTTGTGATGGAGTTTTTGAAATATTTTAGTAACCTCAACTTTTTTCAGGCAGTTTTGTCATTCATATTTTATATCGTTTTAGGTTATTTGTCGAAATTACAGGGTACCCTGAGGTACAAAATAGCATTGAGGACTGACCACCGTGTCAAACTGATGAGTGAAATCACCTCTGGAATACAAGTAATAAAAATGTATGCCTGGGAAAAGCCTTTTGAAAAAGTTGTAGAACTCGCCAGAAAGTGAGTATCAAAGTTGTTTAGTGAGTTATGTTTTCAAAAAATTGTAAATTTCAATTTTTCAAAACACAAACACAAAACACCCCATTGTCATAATTTTTCTGTTGTATTCATTTGAATAATGATTTAAATAACAAAATGTTTTGCGAGATAAGCAAATCAATGTAAATGAAGGACAATATTTAAATGGCGTGTCATGTTGAATGTTATTTATGGGTTCCATACAGAATTATTCCAATACTTATTCCTACTTTTATGTACTCATAATCCTCTGGGTATTAGTCATTTCACAAAAGTTATTAACATAAATATACTGATTGTGATAATCAGAAACATTTGTCATAAGTGATAAAGGTAATTGAATTAAAGAAGTCAGATTATAACATATGCAGTGGATATCAATGAACAATCAACCTCAAAGTAATTTGAAAACCTCCTTGAGTCCTTATTATAATAATAAAATGATTTCTCATTCATTGATGACTCACTCTGATGTTTTCAGTGAGAAAACATTCAAAATGGTGGATATTTCAAAATCATAAATTTACAGTATTGATTCGGGAATTCAAGTAGGCATTTCTAAAATAGTGAACAATTTTGTAGTTTCATTACCGATTCGCTTGAAAATGAAGTGTTTGGAGAAAATTTTGAAATAAACTTCTTTACAAAATATTCAAAAACCTGGAGAGTATAGAATGGAATATATTTTTGTTATTAAATTTTTACTCAGATAGGTATTTAATTTTTTTTTGTTAATCTTTCGTTACCATTGCTTACTTGATTTTATATATAAAAACTAAGGTTCAGTAACATCTATATTGAGAGACATTCTTCCACTGGCAGCCAGTTTATTGATATTTGCATAATATGTTTTATCAAAGTGTATTCAGAACAATATAAAATAATAATTATTGCCCTGTTCTGCATTCTTTGTAAATGTTCCAAATTATGTTGGTTTAGCATAAACAATACCTAATTGAAATGTGGTAAAATTATACTACCACAATTTTGTCAAGCAATAGCAATTCCTGTGTAAATAATTCATTTCATGAGATATTCCTTCAATAAAAAAATTGCATGTTCTTCAAATCCTAATCTCCTAAATAGCTTCATATGTTTAACTTCACTAATTCTTTGACCTATTTTCAATGATTTCGATAATCCGTCATTTTTGTGCTTGAGAAAATAAAAAGTTCCTACCTGATTTAATAAATTCACTTTTTTATTTTATCATGTATATAGACCATATCATATTTAGTTGATGGTTGAGTAAAATCGAGGATTCCTCCTTTTTTGCATTTTTTCACCGAAGTTCCCAGAAATTATTCGAATATAGTGAAAGTTTGAAAAACTTCCGATGAATAGTCAAAAACAAATTTCTAGGTTAGAAATAGACGTAGTCGCAAAAACCTCCTACATCCGAGGCGTCTCTATGGCCATGATGGTCTTCACTGAACGAGTCACCCTATATCTGACCATCATCATGTACGTGCTGATTGGCCAGAGACTGACGGGCAACGTGGTTTTTTCCATGGCCCAGCTATTCAATACCGTCCAACTCTACATGTCCATTTACTTTCCTTTGGCTCTGTCCAGTTATGCAGAGGCTAAAGTGTCCATCGAGAGGATCGAGAAGTTTTTATTGATGAAGGAGAATACTGATAAAAACGATGATGGAGAAACGATATTGGTTGACAAGGAGAATACTGGAGAGGTATGAGAAGAGAGAGAGAGAGAGATGTTATATGTTGACAGCAGCCCCCTGTAGCCTTCAACCTTTCATTACATTTTTCCACCACTAGCTCTAGAACCTACAATTATTTATCCCTTTTCAAGGCATTGAGTGTGTTTTTTTCTACCAAGGTAGTTTTCGTCATTTGATGAACTACTAGTCAATAAAGACATAGATTGTGATTGGAATCATTCCTATGAATGAAGTGGCAACACTGCATTGTCGAAAATATTCTTAACGAAGAGAGTGTAATCTTAAATATAAGCGTGCATTTTTTCATAAATTTCTTTCTACTGATTCTCGATATAGAGATAGTGTAAGCTGGTTACTCGTGACATACAATCAGTTATGTCGCTGATTAAACTAAGTTTCACTTTTCACCGTATTTCTAGGTTAGGTTGGTGAAAGCCAGCGCCAGCTGGATGCCCAATCCGATAGTGTCTACTTTGATGGACGTCAATTTAGACGTGAAACCGGGCACATTATGTTGCATAGTAGGTGGCGTTGGAGCGGGAAAATCTAGCCTCCTACAGGTAGGAATGTAAAAATGCTTCATTTGTCTTTATAATCCAGTAACCTTGTCATCAAAGAGGGGTCCACCTTACATGGTTTAGGGTAGTAGGTTTATTTTTTTCATATTGTTTGGCATAGTACAGAGATGCCAAATCCAATTTTTCGAACTCGGCGACTTTCCGGATCACCGCCATATAACCGGCTATGCAAATTTTTAGCCGTTTAAACGTTATATGGCGGTGATCCAGAAGGTCGCCAAAGTCGAAAAATTGGATTTGGCATCACTGTACTATCCCAAACAATATGAAAAAAAGAAACCTACTACCCCAAACCATGCAAGGTAAAATGTACTAGGTGACTGGATTATTATTTCAAGGATTACATGGAAGTGTTGGGAGATCGACTACATTTCATTGCCTTCTTTTGCAGGTGTTCCTCAAAGAGTTGCCGTTGACAAGTGGCAAATTGCATGTTTCCGGGGTGACAGCATACGCTTCCCAAGAGCCCTGGCTGTTCGTATCGAGCGTCAGGAACAACATTCTGTTCGGGAAACCGTACTTGAGAGATAGGCGAGTACCATTGTTTAGAAGATCTTACGCAGTCGAGATTTTTCCTCGATTATTCACACTAGAGTTCCTAAATGTACTTGACACTGCTGTTTTGACGTTTTTTGTATGTTAGAGTACGGACACCAGACAAGCAGTGACAATCAAACATAACCACAAACGATTTTGAAGCAATTCATATGTTTTGCCAGACAAGGACAAGAATATGTTTTTCGCTTAGATAATGGGTCCTCGCATCTTCCTTCCTCCACAAGTCCTGGGAAGAGTATAATATCCATATATCTTTCTCTGTCTTTGATTTCTGTATGAGAGTGCATAGCGTCACCTCGAGTGGGTAAAAGGGTACGATAAATTGATTAGAAAATTATTTCTTCTCGAAATATTGAATGATAAGGCTGAAGGACCTCAATGGAGGTCGATATCAAGTTAGTATAGGTACATAATATATATCAACGAAATACATATAGTATTCCTATGAAATTAGTCTCTTATATGTAGGTATATATATATTCGTTTAGTTGAATATTTGTTTATCACAAAAGTTCAGAATGGGGTAAAAACTGATAAATTTCAAGAAACATACTTTTATGTAGTGTGGAACAAAATTTCACTTGTACAAGAGTGGTAGGTAATAAGTAATAAATAAATAAACAAATGATATGGCAACAATAACAGCTGATTTCAGTTAGGATAAATAATAAAGGTTCTCCAAGACATACGGAAGTAGGTATAAATGGAATTCAGCGCTCGACTCACTAGATCGCCGTTCACATTGCTAAAGGGGACTGTTGGTTGAACCCGGCCATCGGAAGATCATTTTCAATACCTAACATAAATGGTGCACTTGTTAAGCGTTCTTGTTCTCTGCTCTGATAATATCTTGCTACCCAAGAAGGGGTTCAAAATCCACTAGGGGCTATGTAGTCGTCTAGCACTTCTCAACTACCATGAACATGCACATACAGACTTGGGATTTCAACTTTGAAGAAGCGATACACGAACAATATAATTATTCAACTCTTTGATATAGATACATCAATATCTGGTACATCAGAGTTCCACAACGTGACTATATGTTTCACAAAAAGAGTTCGTATACGAAGATGATCTAAAGAATTCTTGGTTGAACAGGGATGTGAAATCAGTTTGGGTCAGTCAATTCAGGAAGTTCCTGCTATTTCATCATCAGATTATCGACCATGATCTCCATGGTGGCTATTGTGATCTCTGCTCCATCATTCCATCACAAGCAATAACCAGAGTCTAAATTGGAATAAGGTTCTTTTCGATACTTGCTCATTTATGAATTGTGGGTTCGGCTCTTTCTCTCAATACGATCCTATTCTTCAACTTCCTACCAAGAAATTTAAATACCTCGCAAATTTTGTGGCCTGAACCTATATTCCATGCCGGCTGCATCATATTATGTTTCCATTGTTGTAGAATTACGTCATCCGATGGAAATTCGAATAGAGTGAATTGATTTCCCGTCTTCTCACAGTTGTAAACTGCACAAACTTGCATCTTTCTCCTAATTCTCTCAATTTGTCAAACCTTTGAAATTCATGTCATTTGCGTCCGTGTACTGTCAGTTCCCTCTTTTTCCATCAATTTATTTGTGGTTATGTCTGTGCTTGTCATAGTATTCGTACTCTGATATACAAAAAACGTCAAAATCAGCAGTGTCAAGTACATTTAGGAACTGTAATTTACACTAGCAAGATGATCTACCTCCATGTAAAATGTTGGTAGGTCGTAACTGAGCTACTCGCTTGGCTTTTTGAAGAGAGGTTTTGATCATTTCACCACCCAGCCACATTCATCCCCAAGTAAACAGTCAAGACAGTTTTCATATAAATTTTGACATTTATTGATTAAATGGAAAAATCGTGGATAAATGCTTGCCACATGGCAGGTTAGCAAAGAAAAAGAACATAATGGCTTTCCCAATGAAATACATCGCAAAACAACAATTGAAAGAAACAGAACTTACATTTCAACGTCTAGTCTGGGGTTGTCCAGCAGTATTGAAGTCGGGGAAACGGCGAACATTTTCAATTGATAATTACTAATGACTTGTATTAATAATAATGATGCCTTATCGACTCGGGTACTAATTATATTCGGAATCTATGCTAGGTTTGCAATTTTCCGCAATGGGAATGGCCATTACCCGTCGATATTGTTCACCTAGGTATTATCGCAAGGTAAACGGTTTTTGCAAATTCTACAGGAGCAGAAGTCTATGAACTCCGCTGACCTGATCGAAACTACACTGTACTGGATGTTTTAATTTGGAAAAGTTAATTTATAAATATAGATCTTGTAATGAACGCGAGTTCGAGTGATGTTATTCCATAGGCATTTGTACTTCTTGATGGATTGATGGAGTTTGTTGTTGTGACGCTACTTTCGCTGCTTCTACTAACTCTGGTAGAGTCGGAGAAAACTAGATATCAGACATTCTTACTTAGCTCGCAATCTTCAAATCAAAATCACATAATTAAATTGACAAATATTTGATTACTCTATTCAAAAGTTTCCTTAGCAATGTAGCTTTAATATTTCTTGAGTAGCCAGCCAAGAACTGAGTCCAAATTTGGCTTCAACATTCAACATGGAGGTGGATCATCTTGTTATTGTAAATAATCGTCGTTGTCGTTTTTCCATCAAAAAAAAGGAAGGCATATCGAACAGTTATGTTTCATTAAAAAGTCTTGTCGATCAATTGATTCGAACGCTTCGAAATTCAGGTACAGGGACGTGATTCGAGTGTGCGCCCTGCAAAGGGACTTCGAACAGTTCCCTCACGGCGACAAAACCCTCGTAGGGGAAAGAGGGGTCTCTTTGAGCGGAGGCCAAAGAGCCAGGATCAACCTGGCTAGGGCTGTGTATTCCGAGGCCGACATTTACCTTTTCGACGATCCTCTTTCTGCTGTGGATACTCACGTGGGGAAACACCTGTTTGAGCAATGTCTGCAACAGTACCTGAGAGGGAAGACGAGGATTTTGGTGACGCATCAGCTGCAGTTCATGAAGAAGGCGGATCTGATCGTCGTGATTAATAATGTGAGTGGGGGGAAGGGGTTTTGAGCGGACCGAGGGCGAATGATGAGGTCTGATGGGCCAGAACAGTACGGCTCTTGCTGACGATAGCGGATGTTTTTTGTGACGGATTTTCATCGTATTGGTGCATCACTGAATACTGGCAGTAGGAGGTGGAATATTCATTGCTATTTTTTCGGGATTTTCCCGTCTGTATACAGGGTGATTCAAAATTAGATGTGAATATTTTAAGGACGTATTGTTGAGATCAAAATGAGACTTTTTCTTCATAGAAACATGTGTCCAAAAATGCATCCCATTTCAGCCAATAAAAGTGAGGACACCCCTCCAACCCCCCCCCCAAAACTGGGTTTACATAATTTTTGAAGAAAGAATGAAATAAAGTGTCTAAAATGACAGGGGTCTGCCAATTTTGAGAAGATTTGATACGTTATTTTAGTCACAATTTCAGAATATATTTTTTTCTTTACCTAACTTACAGTGTCTGTATCTTGGAGGGGTGAATTTAAGGACACATTTTAATATGATGAAAAAGTTTTATTTTGATCCCAAAAATATGTCCTTGAAATATTTTCATCGAATTTCGAATCACCCTATAAAGATAATAGTATTGCCTAAAAATGTCACTGTACTTGAAATTTCACAGTTTGAACTATTCCATTTAGCCGAAAAATAGATCATTCGATAAATTTTAGATACTTTCTTATTTCGAAAATTCCAACATTACATCGGAATTTTCGAAAATTTCATTGAAAATTTCGAAGTTCACTGAAAATTTCACAAATTTTTCATGTTTCCTTATTTTTTCGGTATTATGAATGCCGTTGTAGCTTGTAATGCAGTGATTGCATCATTCTGTTGAAATTGATCATTTGATTATCGTTTTCCTTTATGAAAATTGAAATGGTTCGAAGTTGTTATAATTTTCATTAGTATAATTTGAAAAATCAAAATTCTTATGATGAATCAATTTTGAAATGGTGGGTTCAGAAGATGTATTTGGACTTATTTTGATATTGAAGATTATGATCCAAATAATGACAATTTTTTCATACAAAACATGAAAAAATAATGAAAATTATTAACTAATAGTAAATTATCAGACAACGTAGATGTGATGTTGGAATTTTCAATACGAATTCTGTTGAATTCCTCAAAAATTGTACTCGTTGTAGTGAAAATTTCAATTTTTAGTATGTTTTTGATAATTTCAAAATATCACAAAATTCAATTATTTTTATAATTTTTTGTTTCAAATTTGTTGGAAATTTTCATTATGAAAATACACCTTGATGAAGTAGTCATCAGACGTCTCAAGTTTATAGGAATCCTATTCTTATAAATTTTATAATTAAAAAAGCATATTATCATTATCACACTTGACATTTGATTTTATTTGTCATTATTTTATTGTTTTCAAAAAAATGTATTGAAGCTTTCTATCCTAATTTAACATTAAAAATCAGATTTCATTGGAACAATGAGGCTTACGTTAAATCAAATGGTTCAGAAAATATCATTTCGAAAATATTCCTGGTTTGGTTTTGTTTCAGACACACTTAGAAATCAATAGTATTTTTGTTTTTGACTACTATGAGATTCTAAATGGAGGCATCGTAGATAGACACAATTTCAACACTCAAACACATTTTTATTCACTCTGGACGGCTTCTACAAAGATGACCGTTTATAAAAATACAACATCGACAAGTGAGTCGTTCTGATGCTACGATGCTAATGACTGAACCTGCTTCAATCTTCGATCACACGATGATTACGATTACCGATGGTTAAGGCATTCCTTAAGCGTTCTTCTCAATTACGGGGTGATTTGAACATCGTCGCTAACACCACACAATAATTATTTTAGAGAGTTTTTGTGGTAATTGTGTTTCTTAGGGAAAAATAGATAAAGTCGGTGCCTTCAAGGACATGTCAGAGAGCGAACTGAAAAGTCTGCAGCAGGAACAGCAACCGGAAGAGGAAAGGGAAAGGGCACAGTCGATTTCAATGGAAAAAGGCCCCGTCGCCAGAGACAGAATCCAATCTGTCGTCTCTTTTGGGGTAAATATTCGGATTTTTGTCCTCTACCTACAAGGTTAATTGGAAAAGTTGAGAAACTCTGTAGAAAATACTCATTATCATACCGATTTTTTCGGATGAAGTATCTTGTATATTTATTACTCATTTAGGTTTGCTAAACTGAATAAAATAACCGATGAAGTTGACTATTACTGGAGTGCTTCGAACATATCATTATAGTAGAAGATTACTACCGTCATCTGATATGAAAATGATACATATCCCAAAGGAAATCGAAAACATCATATATATATAACAAATATTATGAATATGGGCAATATGTGCCTTTGGTGTTACGCCGGGGTTTCGAATAATAATATGTCTGCACTCCCCTTCAATGCAGGGGTACAGAAAAATTTTATCCCATCTGTTATAAAACATATTTGTGTCTCATATTTTTTTGTGGAGATGTTTATCAACATGACAAGCATGTCCACATTCTTCAACTATTACTAATTATATGACTTTGCATACATTTTATATATTATAAAGATTCATATCTATTGATGAGCGAAAAAAATTCAAATGGGTGAACAACTCTATATTTCTGATCTCTTTGAAAGATGTCACAGATTTCTAAAGAGTTAAGAAGGAGAAAATGGAATAAAATACAGGTTGTTTCATTAAAAAATGGGTTTGTTATTTGCCACATTCTGATGCTACCCTCAAAAACTTCACATACTGCATTATTTTCTTGGTGGAAAATGCCGTGAATATAGGCGTTGGGCCTCTGATAGATAACCTGAGGAATGTCACGTGATTTTACAGAGTTCCGTTGCGAATTTGAACGAAGAAGACCCGCAAGAAACGGACGAACTGATCGAAAAAGGGGCCGTACCCACATCCACGTATGTCAACTACTGCCGAGCTGGGGCCAGTTTGTTCACTCTGTTCTTTTTAATTGCTCTGCTGATAATTGCTCAGGCGGCTTCCAACGCTTCTGATCTGTGGTTAACGCACTGGTGAGTACCAACAACATAGATTCATAAAGGGGCACTCTGCAGTACTCTACTATCGTTTGTGAAGATTTTGTTTTACTTTTACGCTGTTGAACATTGTATCCAGGATATTCCAAACACTGGAGGACAATAACATCATCTAGCTGACGAACATTTTTTAAATGAGAAGGATCATTTGATTGATACAGGAAACGAATCAAATACAAATACAATGGATACGGTTCCTATATTGAGATTTTTATTTCTTTTTGAAGTTTTTGAAAATTTATTATACGTATTTTTAATTTTCTCAATAGACTGAGAATTCACTTCAGAAAGAATCGAAAGGAATAGTTATGGCTCCTTTACCATTTTGTTGACGTTATTGGTGAACTTCCATGTTCACACAGAGCTGATGCACAATTTTTCATGAATAGAATCAACATAAAATTCTAACTTGAAGGGATTCTGAGTGGATTCTCATTGTTTCCAAAAAATTAGTAAATTATAACTGGCAACCGCGCCCAAAACCAGTTTTACACCAAACCATGCTGTTAGCTGCGATTTCATTGAGGTTTCCAATGTTTATTGTTGTTGACAGTTTTTTACTATCTTCTTAATTCACGGTCTAGTATTATATAAGCGCTGATTTCATTGTATTAGCACTGTTTCATTGTGATCTAGTTGCTGTGATTAATTTCATTTTCATGCTTTTTCAATTCATTAATTTTTCAGAATTTCCTCGTAATCATCATGAGTAAGTCTTCTGAAAAAGTGAAACATCGATTTTTTTTCTTCGTTTTCTGTTCGGGCTTGTTCAGAGACTTATCTCACAGTCAAACCTACTATACCCAAGTTTACACTAGATTCACCGTTCAAGTCATTGTTTTCCGCCATAATATCCATTAATTGCTCGCAAATAGACATGATTTGTATTATTTCAATTATCATTATAGATTGCAGAAGCATAATCCTAATCAGTGTGAAACTAATTTAAGATTACTTATAAGGTTAAGATAGGTTCATTTGTTGTTGAGTATCTCATCTGTGTTAGCGAAACATGTTGTGTTTCTAAATTTTTTTAATTCTGCTCGTTTGTGGAGTTCTTTACATTATTTTTATGTTATTGAACATTTTATCGAGACTACTCCAAACACTGAAGGACAATAAATGCAGACGAATATTTTTTAGCAAGACTAACATTGAACAATACATTACCAAGTTTCTTTATGAAAAGGAACATTCGATTCAGGAAAAGGATCAAATACTGAAGCACAATTCCATTTATTAGAATATTTTTTTGCAGGACAAACGTTGAAGAATGGCGTTATTCCAAATCTATACAAGTTTCGAATTCGACTTCTTCTACCACTATAGCACCGACATTCCAAAACAATTCCGAAGTAGATTTTCTTGCCAAATCCACTCTACCCCAGCACGAAACCGTTCTTGATGCGGATAATTACGGTACTCAGGAGTACTACATCTACGTCTACACGGTGTTCATAATAGGTTCCGTCCTTTTGACGACAGCGAGGTCGCTGCTCTACTACAAGGTGTGCATGACCGCGTCCAAGGTGTTGCACAACAGGATGTTCACCAACATTCTGCAAGCTCCGATGAGGTTCTTCGATACCAATCCGTCAGGTAATTAATCAATTCATTCATACATTCCTTTCATAATATTTTATACAAATTCATTTAGAACAGGGTGTACCGAAATTAAGGAACAATCTATAATCTATACTAATATCATAAAGAGGAAAGATTTGAATGTTTGTTTGTTTGTATGTATTGAATAGGTTCCGAAACTACTGGATCGATTTGACTGAAAACTGATGGGGAGGTAGCTTAGAACCAGGAGAAGGTTATAGTATACTTTTTATCCCTGTACCATTAGGAAAAATTCGGGCGGAATTTGGAATTTCAAGATGGCGGAACCAATATGGCGGACGAGTTTTGTAATTATAATTCGATTCTTTTCAAAATTGGTACCTAGGACTTTTCGTGATCGAGGATTATGATTCCTTCGTCAAAATTAAGAAATTCAAGATGGCGGATCCAAAATGGCGGATTTTGTAATTAGGATCCGATTTTATTCAAATTTGATATCTGGTGGTTCTCGGGGTCGGAGATTATGATTCTTTCTTCAAAATTAGAAAATTCAAGATGGCGGACGAGTATTGTTATTATGATCCGACTCTCTTCGAAATTGTTATCTGGGTGTTTTTGGGGTCGGAGATTATAATTCTTTTGTCGAAATTTGGAAAGGGCGGGATTGGGAAATTCAAGACGGTGGAACCAATATACCGGACGAGTTTTGTGATTATGTACCGATTCTATTGAAAATTTGTAAGTAGGTGTTTTCGGGATAAAAAATTATGATTCCTTCGTCAAAATTAGGGAATTTAAGATGGTAGATCCAATATTGCGGACGAGTTTTGTGTTTGTTGATGTTCCTATTCTATTCAAAACTTTCATCTGGGTTTTTAGGAGTCGGATATTATGATTCTTTCGTCAAAATTGGGAAATTTAAGTGAAGAAGTTGAAATAAATGGTAGATTGAAAAACTAAAGAAACACTCTTTATAGATAGCGAAACAAAAAAGAAGTCGAAAATAAAATAATTATAGTTTCTTGATGAATATTTTGTTATAGAAATAATGTTTATAGCAAAACAACGTTTGCGAGGTCTGCTAATTTCTTATACAAGGGAAAAAATCTAATATATTCCCGTGTATATTGCACTTTTTTTTTTTCTATGACGGGAAAAACGATGATTCAATATTGAGAAAATATTGCATAAAAATGAAATCAGTAAATCATCGATGTGAAATTTGAAGTTATTAACTGTTAGTACACCTGTGTTTGCAGGCATCTTTTTGTAGGCATCTCAATTGTTGCTATGGAAATCTTTTGAAGTAATCAAACATGTGTCGATTTGATAATGTGTTTTGATTTTAAAAAATTGCGAACTTAGTGGTTGTTCAGTAATTTACGTAACCGCAAAGTAGAATGGAAGATGAAAGGACTTCCAGTTCTATAACTTTATTTCCGTCACAGATAAAAAAAAACTAAGTGACTATTTGTTTTTTTTTTGTTCAGGTAGGATATTGAACAGGTTCTCGAAAGACATGGGCGCAGTGGACGAACTGCTGCCCAGAGCCGCTCTGGATGCCATCCAGATCTTCTTGGTCATGTCCGGCATCCTCGTGATGGTTTTCATCAAGTCCTATTGGATGTTGATCCCCGCCGCGGTCCTCGGCCTCCTGTTCTACTACTTCAGGGTGGTGTATTTGGCCTCCGCTCAAGACATCAAACGTTTGGAGGGAGTCAGTAAGTGGATGATTAGAAAATATCGACCTATTGAACATTAACACGTTGAAGGACAGAGACGTTGATCAGCGTATTTTTCTGAAGTTGTGATATGACACAACGCTGATCTGCGTCTTCAGCTTGAGGGTCAATAATGACACGACGCCGTTCAGCTTTCTCGTTTACAATTGATCATTCTAGAACACGTGATTTTGACATGGTTTCTTGAGGGGCACACTAGAGTCCCTGTATGTATTTGACACTTTTGCTGTAATAAGAGTACGGACACTATGACAAGCAGTGACAGTAGGCATAACCCTAAAAAATTTGAAATGACATTAAATTATTTGAAAATTCAGGTTCTCAAAAATTAAAATGTCTAATTGTGTAGTGGAGAATTGCAAAAATGGAAGCGAGTCCTTTCATTTATTCCATTTCCTCCATTCTAACCAACAACAGTTACAGAAATGGAAAGAAAATATGAAGCGGTCACTATGGAAATTGAATTCAGGTAGCAAGATTTGCGAAGTAAGTACTCAATATTTGAATTTTTCGATTGAATATGATGCATAATCGAAGAAATAATATCATTTATAATTTCAATTTTGACATTATAGGTGCACTTCAAATGTGAAGATTTCATAGTGGAACATACCATCAAATTGAAAGAAAATGCGGAGCCTTCATTCCATCATCAGAAGTATCATCGATAACATTCCTTATCGAATTCAGGACAATTTTTACGAGGAAAAATTCAATAGAATACCAAGATGAAATTAAATATATTTTGGATCACAAACAAGAAATTTTCGAAGATTTAGAGAGAAGATATGCCGATATTCAAAATTTATGAATAGTTAATGATGAAAGATACAGAAAAAAAATCAAAGAAAAGGACGAACATTTGAAAAATAGCTAGGCGCGATCATCAAATAAAATCAAATAAATTGAAGTACATATACCCTTTGCTAAGTATATCGAGAAATACTTTCAACAAATTGATTTACAAACTATGACCCCTTTTCGCCAGTGAGATGAGACGCCACTTCTTTATGAAAATAAAGACAGAGAAAGATATATGGATGTACCCTTCACCGCGGCAGTAGAGGATAGAAGATCCGAAGTGCATGGAAAAGCATATCCATGTCTTTGTTCAAAAGTTATTTTGAGAATTTGGGGTTATGCCTTCCGTCACTGCTTGTCATAGTGTCCGTACTCTTATTACAACAAAACTGACTAATATATACAGGTAATTATACACACAGGGACTCTAGGGCACACAAACTATCTGTTAGGTTACCTTAGATGAGCATAGCCCTGGCCATCCCTGCCACATCCACAGCAGTTTCACCAAACAAAATTATGGAATTCTTTCTGGTTCCAACTCGGATTCCAAGGAAAATGATCCCACTAATTCTGGTTTTATATGACAAATCTTGACAAAATACAATGTTTGCCCCTCAGCAACCTGTCATATGACGTAATTCTGGAATGATTAATACGAAATAATAGAAACTCAATCAACACTGTCACAATACGTTCGATCATCAGGGACGTAGGGTCATGCATTCCAAATTTATCTACACTTCGTATCCCTCCTTCTAATTTATATGCACCTTCCACAATTTGTAAAACTGCACTGCCTGAAATGGTACTTTCCAAAAATTCTAAATGTCCTTCAACATGTTAACTACGACCAATTTCTTGCTAACAAAAAAATGGTAGCTCTCATGACAATTTCGAAATTTCAAATGTGGATACTGCAGGAATGAAACATTTTACGTGATGGTCAGCTAGATCTCAACAATTTTGAATTTGTTTTCTCAATAGGAAATATTTGCATCACTCCTCTCAAGTTAATACGTAAAACTCATTGTCTGCTACATATGGAGACAAAAACTAGTGAGCTTTAACTACTGGTCTGCTCAATAGCTCACTTGATTGTATGACCACCGGAGGATTTTACCGTATGGGTTGCGTGCAAGAACTGTCAGATGATTGACCCTGGAGCTGAAACATTGAAACACAACCTCACTTTTCGCATTTGTTTACACATGATTGAAATAGATTTTCACAATTATTTTGGCATATGAATCGTGTTTTTCGGCTATTCATCAATTCGCGCATGCCATCACATTGTGCTGTTGTACAATACACAAAAAATGCAGCGAGAAATGAAGGAATCCGGTTGGTACATTATGATTCAAAAGTAAGTACCTACTATAGTCACTCACATATAGTTTTCATTTTGAAATTCAGAAAATTCTCTGATTTCTCATCGGAATTCCTTCTGCAATAGGAGGTAATAGAAATACTCGTGGAATTTCTAAAAGAATGCAAGAAGATCGGATTCATGCAATCAAACGGGAGGACTGGTCTGACATGCTGACGAAATATAATCGTGTGTGTTGTAGATATTTTCAATCTATTAGCAGTATTAGCTTCTTTCGCAGATGTGGCAGAAGGAATTTTAATAAGATGATGATGATGACTCAACAGTCGAAAGCGCTCTGCTACGAATATAAATTCGAAAAAATTATCTTGCATGAAATACAAAACTTGCCTTCTTTGGTATATATACACGTGCACACAGCCCAGCAACCCTCACTTAATAAGAAAAGACAAATTTCAAAGAAAAAACAATGTGAGCTTATTATTTTCCTGAAAAATGATATTCCTCCGTCTCTCGCTGCATTTTTTGTGCATTGTACAACATGCACATCGTGACTTGTATTGTATTTTCTTCTGAAAAAAAAATTCTCCATACATATTCCTTTCGTTAATAGATATAGTTGTGTTATTGTGCTCCCAGTATTATAGCAGTTCATTCTGATTGATAATTTGTTACAAACTCTGTCTCTCAATTGTGCCTACCAGAACGTGTGAAACCGTCACCATTCATGGAAGTCCAAGAGATAATATCAAAGTCCTGATCAAAAGCTAATAATCGATACTACTCATTCTACCTCTCATTTAATTTAGGTGTTGAACGTTACGAAATTGGGGACTATTGTAGTGTCTGTAGCAACCATCTTGAAAAGGAATCATTTTTTGAATTTTTGTGTGACCGTGATCCGTGACTATGTCGTGACTAAATTCAAACTCACTGAACAAACTACGCCGCCGGCCGAGACTGCCGAGAGCACGGTTTTCAAGGTTATGTAGGTTTGACAGGAAAACAATTGAAATAAGTGTTTCCTCGAGTTGACCGTATGGCGGCACTACTGTATCGTCCACAGAAACCTGTAGATGATTTCACTTGTTTGAGCAGACCAGATACTACTAATACTAGATTTTTTTCTCCATATTTAGCAGACAATGGTAAAACCGAATCAAATTAGGCAATCCAACTCAGGTTAGAATCGCTGGTTGACGCCATATACAGGGTGTTTCGTAATATGTGGGACGCACTTTAAGAGGTGATTGGGCGTCTGAGGAAAATAAAAGAGTTTACATAAACAAAAGTCGTAGAAGGCTTCGTTTGCGGGGTTACAGGGTGTTTTCAATATGGAATTGAAATCCACATGTGGAATCATGAAGATATCCCTACTGAGGACCACTTGAAATATTCAGAAAATTGTCCATATGCAAAAGACCAAAGGGAAATTTTGTTCTTCATTGTCTCTGAATAATTTGCTAGACATATTTTTTCAAGAATTTTCTGGAAATCTTATCGTTTGTGAAGTTTCACATTTACTATGGATTTCCATCAAGTAGGCGCCGTAAAGGCCTAATCACACACACACACACAATATTCTATTGCTCATGAGTTTGTTGTTATTGTAGTGTTATTATTGTTATTATTGTTAACCCCTTTCCGCTTCCTTATACCAGAACTTGTTTCTGACTGAGTTATATTCTCTATAAATAAGAAACTGAATGAATGCATGAAATAATCGTATTTCAGCTAGAGCCCCAGTCTTTTCTCATATTTCTGCCACGTTGTACGGTCTACCGACTATCAGGTCATCGAATGCCGAACAGATGGTCATCCAGGAATTCGACACCCTGCAAGACCAGCACACGAGCACGTGGTTCCTATTTCTAGTCAGCAGCGAAACTTTCGGCTTCTATTTGGACGTCATCAGCACCGTATTTCTCGCTATGGTCACATTCCAGTTCCTCATATTCAGAAATGGTGAGTTAATGGGTCATTTTCTAGAATAATTATATTGTTCACTAGCAAAACAACAAAATATACCTATTTCATATCAATATGACAATTTTCTTTCATAATCGATCCATATTTTGGACAGTGCCGTGGGTTTTTATTGTATTAAAAATTAGCATTAGGTGTTTTTTAACAGGAAAATTATCCTCAGTATTGTTCGTTGAAGAAAAATGATTGAGTGGATGAATGAATCAATGAATTAATTATTAAATGAATGCATCAATGAAAAAAATAAATGAATCAATGAACAATAAATGTATCAATCAATAAAGAAATGAATCAATGAACTGATAAATGAACTAAACGATAAAATATCCAGAAAGCAAAGCCTCGTCATCACCAGCACGCACAAGTTCGGCGTTTGACAGCCGGCCGAGGGGTCCATCAACATTACAAATGAGATGTTTGCGTGGACCGGGTGCTGCAGTACACCAACTTGAACGAGGGGCCGTTTGAGTCGCTGAATAAAGAAAAATGGTTGAATGAATGAAACAATGAATAAATATATGAGTCAATGACTAAATACATGAGTCCATGAACACATAAATGAATCAATGAATAAATAAATGAATCAAAGAATAAATGGATTCGAATTACACAACACACCTTAAGCGGCGACGTCGGCCTGGTGATATCCCAAAGCCTCATCCTCACCAGCATGCTGCAGTTCGGCGGGTGCTGCAGTACACCTTTTTGGACAAGGAGGGACCGTTCAAGTCACCAAATAAATGAGTGGATTCAAGAAAAATGATTCAATGAATTCATGAATCAATGAAAAATAAATGAATCAATGAGTAATTAAATGAATCAATGAAGAAATAAATGGATCAACGAATTAATAAATGCATCAATGAACAAATGAATGAATCAATGAACAAATGAACGATTCAATTAACAAATGAATAAATCAATGAACAAATAAATTGATAATTGAACAAATGAATTATGAAAATGGTTACAAATTTCAGAAAATACGCTGAGTGGCGACGTCGGCCTGGTGATATAGCAAAGCCTCATCCTCACCGACATGCTGCAGTTCGGCGAGTGCTGCAGGACACCTTCTTGGAAAAGGAGGGACCGTTCTAGTCGCTGAATAAATGAATGAATGAATGGTAGAAGAAATGAATCAATTGATTAATAAATGAATCGATGAACAAATAAATGTTTCAATGAACCGATAAATGAAACAAGTAATGAATATTTAATCTATAAACGAATAAATGAACCAATGAACAACTAAATGAATCAATGAACAAATAAATAAATCAATGAACAAATGAATGAGTCAATGAACAAATAAATGAAACAATGAACAAATAAATGAGTGAATGAATGAAATGATTAATGATTTCAGAAACTACGCTGAGTGGTGACGTCGGCTTGGTGATATCGCAAAGCCTCATCCTTACCGGCATGCTCCAGTTCGGCGTTCGTCAAACGGCAGAAGTGTCCAGCAACATGATAAGCGTCGAACGGGTGTTGCAGTACACCAAATTGGACAAGGAGGGGCCGTTCGAGTCACTCCCGACGAAGAGGCCACCAAGGGAGTGGCCCGATAAAGGGGAGGTCAAGTTCGAGGGGACGTACTTGAGGTACGCGCCAGAGTTGCCAGCCGTGTTGAAGGATTTGAACATTCATATACGGCCCGGGGAGAAGGTGAGTTTTGTTGGTTTGGATTATTGTGGGCATCGAGAAGTGAATTTGATCGTGTTTTGCTCAAAGTTGCAAAGTATTAGGATATTTTTGAAAAAATTAAAAAATCTTATTGTGTTTGATTAAATCGTGTTTCTTTTTTAATTATACAGATTTTCTTCTTGAATATGGAGATTATGAACTGAACTGAACACGTTGGGCGCCACAAAATTCATATTTTTCATGTTATCTATATACTAATATTATAAAGAGGAAAGGTTTGATTGTTTGTTTGTTTGTATTGAATAGGCTCCGAAACTACTGGATGGATTTGGCTGAAAATTGGTGGGGAGGTAGCTTAGAACCGGGAGAAGGTTATAGGATACTTTTTATCCCGGTATCATTAGGGGTCTGATATATCGGACGAGTTTTGTAATTATGGTCCGATTCTATTCAAAATTGGTATCTGGGGGTTTTCGGGGTCGGAGATTATGATTCTTTCGTCAGAATTTGAAAATTCGGTCGGAATTTGGAGATTCAAGATGGTGGAACCAATATGGCAGACGAGTTGTGTAATTATAATCCGATTCTTTTCGAAATTGGTACCTAGGGGTTTTCGTGATCGGGGATGATGATTCCTTCGTCTGCTAGTTTATTATACAAGGGAAAATATCTAATATGTTTCCGTTTATATTACTTTTTTTATGACCTCAAATTGGAGCGTATTTTATTGAACGAATATCTGTTGGAAAGCTCCCTCGAATCACAAAATTGAACAACTAGACAGTTAAAAGCGAAGTTTTATCTGCTTAAATCACTACCAAAAAATCGAAATAATGAATCAATTCAAAACAATCTACTTTCATATAGTTCCATAACCGGCCACAGGCGCTGCGATCTCAAATTCAGTCGCCTATCATCTGATTTTCCAGATCGGTATCGTGGGCAGGACCGGCGCAGGCAAGTCCACCATGATAGCCTCCCTGTTCCGACTGGCCCCCATCGACGGCACCATAGCCATCGACGGCCTGGACACGGCCGACGTCGGCCTCAACGATCTGCGACTGAACATCTCCATCATCCCGCAGGAGCCCATCCTGTTCTCGGCATCTGTCCGGTACAATTTGGACCCGTTCGAGAAGCACACCGACGAAACGTTGTGGAAGGCGCTCGAGAATGTGAGTGCGATCCATAGACATATAAGAAAAAGGGAGACATTTCATTCATAAAACACTATTTGTTTACAATCATACATGCTTACAAAGTTTCGAATGAGTTGAAAAAAGAGAAGCACACCGACGAAACGTTGTGGAAGGCGCTCGAGAATGTGAGTGCGATCCATAGACATAAAAATAGGAGGGACATTTCACACATGAAATACTATTTTCTACGGCTATAGCACAAAATTGCTCTTGTTATACGACGCTATACATAGTGGAGTATACTACGGCCTTGCCAAAAATGCTATCTCGGAAACTAGGCGAGATAGAGGTATAGTTACTTTGGAGAAAATGATCCCCATCGAATTTTGAGCAACTTTGGTTTTTGTGTGTGGTCTGTCTGTCTGTACTCTGTGGAAATCATAAATCGATATATCTCCGGAACCCTTTGAAATTTCGCCATCTTATTGTACTCAAAACAATATTATCTCATTAAAATATGAAGGAAATCGGAAAACTATAAGGTGTTTTTTCCGGGTTTTTTCGATTTTTCACCGGAAGTTTCTTGTGACCACTCTACAAATCGCAAAAGTGGTCCGATCGATTCCATTTTTTGTGAAAAAAAACTCTATCAGGGAGAGACGAAACCTATTGGAATTGAGCAGGGTCGGAAAATTACAAGTGGGTTTTTCAAGGAGATTTTCCGAAACACACGGTTCGCTTTAAAACGACATATCTCCTGAACCAATAGACTAAATCCAAATTTGAAAAATGCACCGTATGCCTCTTTGATGACGCAACAAGTTATTATATTACCATTTTTTCGTGCATCCATCGGAAAATGGAAAAACAAATGAAAATCAAAACATCAAAATTTGAAAATCAATTCAATATATATCGAAAACAAATGGAAAAATCGAAAATTATCAGGAGTGCAAAGTTATCCACTGGAACATTTCCTACAAATTATTATCCAAATTTTTTTCTGTAAACCCTATAGTACAGGAAATAAAGTAAAAAATATGAAGAAAAAAAAATTGAACGACCCATAGGGTACCATGAAGATATGTTGAAAAACAAAAGATTATCGATAGATGAAGCTCATCGACTCCCACTGAACCATGAAATATTTTTTCCTTTTGTTGATTGGAAGATGGAACAGAAGTGTTGAAAATTTTATTCTCAGATGATTCCAAATATCTCGGAACAACTGGAAATATCTGAAAAAATGTTATAGAACCAAAATTATTCCTTTTGATAAAATCTACAAAAAATCCGTATAACATATTTTTCTGAATTCAATAGTTCGGGAGATACGATGAAAAAACTAAAAAATTCATAAGTTCCTAGATAATCACTTGCCAATAGAAAACAAAACAAAAGAAAGTAAAAAAAGCACACTCGACTGTCTTTATTTTTTTCCCAATTAACTACGTACCTAGCTCACTCGACTGTCTTTATTTTTCGCCAATAAACTAGGTTCCTAGCTCACTCGACTGTCTTGATTGAAGTTTTAACTTTCTCTTGTTTTTGTTTTTTTAGTCCCTATTGGCAGTCGAGTGGGCTAGGTACGTAGTTTGTGTGGAAAAACCAAGACAGTCGAGTGGGCTAAGTACGTAGTTTGTGGGAAAAATCTCCAGTTCTCTGAACTTTCATAGCGTCGTACACACATCTTTGGTGCCCAATGATAGTTTCAATATGAAAATATGATCATGATATGGTGCCATGGCCTCTACTTCCATCTTACATGAGCAATGATGAAATATCTGCTTTTATTGCGTCGTATTAATCATCTGACCTCTAAACTAATCTAATCCCTAATGAAAACAACATCTATACTAATCTGATATATTTCAAAAACTACGTACCTCACTTGTTTTACTGTGTCCGGTACATCAATGAGGTACTTTGTTTGTCATAAATTTTATTTCCGTATCTGATATCACAATGACTCCATTGTGTTATTATTTCAGAAAAATCCCATCGCCCAGGGAATATCGGATTTCAAGCAATGACAGCTCTGTCTAATAGATGAGCATTACTTGACAGGAAATCAGATGGCTTCAAGACGAAGAAATCGAAAATGCCACTGTTATCTATTATAGCCGTAGAAAAATTATGTATAACTTGCACGGAATGCTAATTTCCTCGTAGAAAATCACTATCATTCCATGCTTGTTTGAATAATATACTATTTGTTCACAATCATACATACTTACGAAGTTTCAAATGAGTTAGAATTGATTGATTGATTGATTGATTGATTAATAGCAGAATGATCAGTCAGGGTTTGAAGCCCAAAACACTGCAGCCTTTGGGCCTATTGTATTCCTGATTATGCTGTTGACTTATGTGAACAGGTTCGCTACCTTGATGAGGTTTAGCAGCCTCTTCACCAGATCATTCTTTGAAAATGCCTCTTGAGAGTTTACTGCTCCCAGAAGGTTGTATCTCCAACGCGCTAGTGCTTCGCACTCCAATATTACATGGGTGGCAGTTTCCTCCTCCTCATTGCATAGTCTGCATATGGGTTCGTCTGTATAGATGCCCATTTGATGCATATGTTTCCTCAAGGGGCAGTGACCGGTTATTAGTCCTGTCACTTGTTTGATCTGACTTCTGTTTAGGCTCAGAATGTCGTTAGTCACTGATTTGGACAGTGTTCCAACCATCAGTTTACTGTGTCTTTGTCCTGGGACATTGTTCCAGTATGCCTGATGTCTTTCTTGCATCCACCTTGCCAGCCAGCCGCGTATTGAGGTTTTGGGGATATCGAACACAGGTTCCGGCCCCATAAACAACGTCGCAGATCCTTGCCGGGCAAGAGCGTCAGCTGCTTCATTGCCTTCAATTCCCTTATGCCCTGGCACCCATTGAAGAGTTACCTTGTTGTGGTTAGCCAGGGTTAGCAGGCTTTGAAGGCAATCCCAGACCAATTTTGATCTGATTTTATTGCATGTTAGAGATTGAATGGCCGCCTGACTATCTGAGCATATGAGGATTTGTTTACCTCTGTATCCTCTTACGATATTCTCTCTTAGGCATGCCTCAATAGCATGCACCTCTGCCTGGAATACTGAAGCATACTGAGTTAGAAAGAGATGGCTATGAAAAATGGCAACGCTGTGAACTGTGAGTCAGTGGTCACACTTTTCTTCACCAGGCGCGTATGTTAAGAGAGGGGCAAGACAATTTTACTACAATGACAACGGTATAGACGAATCTTGCTAAGGAATACGTCCTGTACCGTTTTCTAATGGGCCATTGGTTGCTTTGTTTACATCAGTTTGCATGTGTTTTGTATGAGAAGTAGTTGTGTTTTAATCGTCTATAATTCTGTTCAAGAACTTTTATAAACGTTCAAAAACATGAATCATCATTGTTGGGTGCCACTTTGTAATCGAAACTAAGTTGTAAAACAAGTAAGTGATCATAGCAGAAACGTGTGGATTCATATTCAATCACAAATGTGAATGACTAAGAAAAATATGCGTCACTCCTAGTAAACACGCTGATACAGCTTTGCCACAGTTATTTTATGTAATAATGAAATTAGTAAATTTTAAATAATTTCAATTGCAGAATTCACATATAGGAATGAACATACAAAATGTATATTATATAATTGAGGTATGATTAATGCATCTCTCGTTTTCAAACACAGGCGGTAGATCTAGGGCAATCCGCAGACATTTGTCATCATCGTTTTCTGCTGAAAACGATGCTGGATCGGGATGAAGTGTAAACAACTTTGTCCCGTCTATGGTACGATCCTTGTTTATTTTACACTAACAAGATGAACTATCCTTATGAGAGCAATGAAGCCAGAAATCAGGAAGTTTCTCTCGAACAAGTTATCATACAATTATCATTCAACTACCTAGCATTAGGTTTCTGTTGTCTAGTATAGATATTCAGATTATTCGAATTATTTTAATTTTCAAATTACATCAATTTAAAATTAATAATGAAGCAGACTACCTAGATATAGTGACATTTTGGGATATTTGTCTATGATAGATTAGATTAGATTAGATTTAACTGGGGAGCTGGCCTTTTGGCCTAATCCACTGCGACCTTTTCAGATCTATTGTGGAGGCTCCGATTGCTTATAGCACTTCATCTAGCTTCGTCCATTTGTCTATGATAAGTTCCTTGACTTATTTCCTTCTCGCCTACGTACCCGAAAATAATAATAAGAAGAAAGCTTTCAGTATGGTCTAACCTCAAACCATCAACAAAATACATCTCAGTATGGTGTAAATCGGGTTTGCAATCACTGTTGCCAGACTTGAGTTATCAATTTCTTGGGGGAAAATATCTCTTCAAGCTTTCAACAGGAATGCAAATTAGATAGATCAACCTCAAAAACGAGCTGTCGGCATCATTGTTATTATGTATACATATATCCAAAATTTTATATTCGTCAATTATCATAATTTTTTTTCTCGAGTTTTGCTGTTCTAATAATTATGTTTCGTCCATAATTCACATTTCATCAGGTATTCCGTATAATAATTTTAAGAAATAATCCAATTTCCACCCATACTATTTGTTGAATACGTCATTTCAGGTCATTGCTAACTATGATGTTAAAGCAGGAAATTTCTCGAATCATTAGATTAATCTATAAATCTTGTAACACTGTACTGGCTTAATAGGGCTTGCATTTTTAGCCGTGCGTACATGGCTTTTCTAAGTATTACGTCATGAAAATGGTGGAGGAATCGAAAGTATATCTTCACGATTTCTTTCAGAAACTGAACTGATCGCACGAAAAAAAAATGTGTTCCATGATTAACATTAACTTTACAGAGGAATGAAAATTCTTATGTTAGAAATTTGCTGAGTTTTCATCTTCTTCTTTTTTTGTACTTAACCGGAGATCGAGAAATTTGTCTGACTGTTTGTGTTTGTGCTGTTGTGACTAACATCACCTCAGACGAATTATAATTTTGAATCCCAAGTCATAAGATATTAAATTTGCATTTTTCTTCTAGGTGGAATTGAAAGGGGCTATAACAGATTTGAACCAACAAGTCAGCGAAGGTGGTTCAAATTTCAGTGCTGGACAGAGGCAGTTGATATGCTTAGCCAGAGCCATAGTCCGTAACAATAAAATATTGGTTATGGACGAAGCAACTGCCAATGTCGATCCACAGTAAGTTATTGTTGTTTTTTTTTTCTATTAAATCAAAGTCTTTCGAGAGATCGTCAACTGTTCTAGTTCTATTTGAAATATTTTCGTTCAAATTGTTGTTTATTATTATATCTTCCGGTCTGAAGTGCACCTAATAGAAATGCAATGAATAATATTCAATATTCTACCAAAATATGTTGATACCTCGTAAATTTTGATGGCTGAACCTATAATCCTTGCCGCTTTGAGTTCTCTACCCATTTTCATAAGTGTTCTATTTGATGGAAATTCGTTCAAAGTAAATTGATTATCAGTATTCATGGAGTTAGAAACAGCACAAAATTGCAAGTAATTATTCTTTCTATTCTTGGTTTAACAAACCTTTGAAATTATGATGTCATATACGTTCCTGTACTGCTAGTTCCCGCTTTTTTCTTTTATTTGTGGTTATGTCTGACTGTCAGTGCTTGTCACAGTGTCCGTATTCTAAGTATAAAAGAACTTTATAACAAAACTGTTGAATACATTAAGGAACTTTGCATTAGACCATTGTACAAATTGAAACTAAATGGCATTTATGAATTGTTTTTCACAATTTCTATCGACCATAGTTCCAGAAGTTAGACATTTCATATTCGCGGTTTTCAATTGACATTGACAAAAGATAATGCATTCGACATATGACAACTTCTTGGGCCGTTCGTTTTTCAATCGGCGTCACGGAGTAGGAATGTATAGGGTAGTAACGAATGTATAGTATTCTATTATTTATACATTGAAATTTCTCAACTAGAGCTGAATCATGAAGAAAATACTCAATCAATGAATTACTATCGGCCACATTCACTAACCTTGACATTCAATGATCCTTCCTCATTTACTGCCATTTCATTAATGAAGCCGACACCAAAGTCCCTTTCCTGTTCCTCCTCCTGTTTTTCAAACTAATTATAATTGACATTGACAAAAGACAATGCATTCGACATATGACACTAACAAAAAGCACAAAATGCCTAATTTTTTTCAAATCATGGCTGTGTCAAGTCTGTGGTTTGACCGGGCACATATGTTCAGTGTGAAGTCTGACCATCAGTCTGACCAACCAGCTGTTTGGGAATGTCGGCCACGTTTCGAACCTGCCCACAAAGTTTCCACGTCGACTTTTGATGGGAGTCGAGTCAAAGGCTACGTTCAGCGGCAGGTCGGACCAAGGTCAATTCGTCTCAATTCGTTCAGACCGTAGTCAGACTATGGATCAGACAGTGGTCTACGTAGTCTCATTTGAAATGAGGCCAAGCATGGTCTAAATCGTTCAGTTCCATTGAAAATACAACAGTTTCTTCGATCCTTGTCTTCATTGGTTGAAGCTATAGTTCATACATTGCCAGCTCTACAAGAACAAACACAATCATGTCCAATCTTTCGCTGAAAGGCTTCAATTTCAGAGCAGCAGAAGTTTGTAGAACCTGCCCAATGATCTCAAGTTTCTGTTTCTATATATTTGAGAATGTCCACCGAATTGATTTCAACAAGCACCATCGTTCAAAAATCACTCTATAACCACTAAAATTCTAAATAAAAATTACGAATGGGGGTTATCATGACAACTTTGACAAATACTATATACAATTACAAATCGATGGACCGATGTCGTTCAGAACTCCTATGCTTGTTTTGGTCCAACTACGGTGGTCCAGACCTGCCGCTGAACGTAGCCAATCATTGACCATCCAGTATCTCCACTGTGGTCGAACAAATGACTTGACACAGCCTATGTATGGTCAAGACCTCAAAGTCAAGCGAAAAAACTCTTTATTTACTTTGCCAGAACGGACGCTCTCATCCAGAAAACCATCCGAGACCGTTTCGCCCCCTGCACCGTCCTCACCATCGCCCATCGCCTCAACACCGTCATGGACAGCGACAGGGTGATGGTGATGGACGCGGGCAGGGCGGTCGAGTTCGCGCACGCGCACCAACTCCTGGCCGACGATAACAGCTACCTCAGCAGCATGGTGAGAGAGACGGGGGCGGGACTGGAGGGCAAATTGAGGCGGGTGGCGCAGGAGGACTACGAGAAGAAGTTCGGGGGCAAGGAGAGTGGGGATGGGACTGACAAGAAAGAGGACTAGGAGATGAAGGGGGGAACACGTTGAACGAGGTAGGTGAAAACCTGTGCAGCGTCCCAGCGTCATTGGTTTTCGCGGCATGCACTCTGACTGTTTATCATTTTGACATTTTGAAGGTCAGCTGTCAGAGTGGTGGCCGTTCTCGATAGAGAATAAGCATACGTTACCTGGCGAGCTTTTGGAAAGCTGTCAAAGCGAGCTATAGCGGTACTAAATTTATTAACGTTTTTTTTTTTTCAATGCTCGTATCATAGATTTATAGAAAGTCAAATGGTGTTATCACTTCCTATAGAAAGTAGTTTGGAAATCTCTCGATATCGCCTACTTTGTAAAAATAGCGAGACGTGGGAGAATCTTGCTAAATTTCCGAAGTTTCAAACCAAATTTACAAGCATCATGAAATATTCATTTGAGTTCATATTTTATTTCATTTTCACAATTTTTCTTTAAATGGAAACGATGCATTTCGACTTTCAATGGAATTCATGAACGACACGAAGTCCTAACTAAGGAAAATCCTGTGATAATAGTTTTTTTACTCACTTCTGGTACATAAAATGAAACAAATAATCCTCACATATTGCAGCAGTCGGTCCATGATGAAAGCACAATGCACTGGACTGATAGTATAATATCAATACCTGCTTAATAAACTACTTATGCTTTTAATTTATATTATGTGTATTCGAAATTTGAACAAAAAGTTGAATATGCCAAAAACATGACAGTTATGACAGATATGACAAGATAAAGATGTTTCCGCACGGATTGTTTGTTGCGCCCTGTCTCTTTTGCGTCCTGTCTCTAGATGCTTCTTATCGGCTTTTATTGAAATCGTGCATCATCAACGAGACTCTTCAGGTCCCGAAAGAAGAAAAACACATCCTTGAAAGTCTAGTTCAACTTCATGATAAGATTCGAAACGCATTTTGAAATTTTTCGAGAAATCGTCCATTGTTCACGCCATCTATCATCGAATATAAGAACCGTACGTTCAGAACTCGCATTCAATTGTTCATATCGAGAGTTAGTCTGACGAAACAATTGAAGAGTGGGCACACCAGAGAAATTATAAACATCTCACTCGCATCCATCAAAACTAACAGCTCTAAAGTGATCAAGTTGTTGCCTTCAGGTCGAGGGACCAATGAAAAACAAAGTAAACAGACCGCTTTAGCAGCTTCAGACGTATTGAAATTATTGAAAAAATGTTTTTACAAACAGGAAATTCAAGAGGAATTTGTGGTGTCCACCGAAACTCAATCGGATATTACTTGGGGTACCACTAAGGAGAACATCAAACTGCTTAGTTTCAAGAAAACTATATTTTTCCCTAATGTTCCTGCTACACTGGCTCCATGATTCAAATATAAGTAATCCTATTTTTATGTAAAAAAGACTATCTTAACATTTTTCACAATATGGCGGCAGTCTAAAGTGAAGACTTCAAGTCAATAAGAATTCAGTTATCATTTTGTCATTGTTCAAATAATTTCAAAGGAATGATGATCATTCTACAAGCAGATTTCGTTCTTCTTGATTTCCAGTGCCTTTCTAATTGAAAACAGATTTTTATTCTTGTGGAAGATTATAATAAGTGCTGTTAAAATATTTTTTATAACTATTTAGCCTTTATAAATGATGTTTCTGTATGGTATTCACACACCATTGTAATATACAAAAATTGGCAAGCCATCTGAACAAATTAGGGCACAAATTTGTAATAGTTTTGTGGAATTGAAAATAATATCCAGATCAGGAATACTGAACTGAATCGCCTATGATTGATTTATATCACAGGAACAAAATATAATACATGACAGATGATTGAATGTTTGTGGTCCGTTAGTTATGAAGCTGGGTTTATTTATGGGCTATTTTGGCTTTGGCATTGGTCAGTTCACATGTTTTATTACTAGTATAGCCAAAACCAAAATCGCTGGCAATAATCTTATGGCGTTTGTTAAGTTTTACTCAAAATCCTGTTATATGTGGCTATTTAATTACATCCCTATGATTTCCTTCAGTTTCGACCAAAAATGTTTGAGGAGTGCCTTACTTGTATGTCTTACCGATGTACAGGGTTGTTCCTAAATTCCAGTGACATAAAAAATAAGAAGAAAGTTCCTTTATCCAGATGGCATAAAACTCCAGAAAGATGTAGATTCGGATTTTATTAATAGGAATCAAGGAACTTTCTTGGGTTTACTCAGAAATTCCAAGGATATGCATTCTCGATAAAAAAAGAGTTCATAGTAAGGGAACAAAAAAATATATCATATTTTTCGCCAAAAACAAAAAAAGCGAACCAAGACAAATCCAAGAAAGCAAAAAATAAAGCTTTTATTGGTCGATCTAATGAAAATCTAAGTATTTGTTGTCAGTTTTCGTGCACTAAACTTCAATAACGAACCATTTTCGAACATATGATATGGGAACTTTTCTAGGAATTTATATAGGAATGCTGTATTTTACAACTTCTTAGGATATTGTTCAATTTCGATATTTTCATTTTTGACATTTATACGGGTCTTATATTCTTTGAGAATGAATAACCAACCAAATAACTGAAATTTGATACAATTTAGATATAATGCAAATTCCAGTGAAAACTCAAAAAAATCAACTTATACCTATTAATCCTGTTCAAGATCAGTTACTTTTGATACAGTTTTATTTGAGTTTTGAGTAATGTATTTATTTATTGAATGTCCAAAGTTATGTTTATTGTTTTCAATCTTAAATATTTAATGACAAGAGAATGATTATGTTCCTTGTTAACAATTATGCTAATCATTTCACTTATTTTTGTTTTTATTTTTGTTCATAATTATGTTTAAGGAAATATATATTATTTGTGACATGTACTTTGTATAATATTGTACTTATATTCTTCATTAAGCTACTTTTTGCTCTTCCTAATTTTTTGTTATAAGGAGAAATGTAAACAATATCTTTCAATATATATTTTTTTCAAATAAGTTGGTGGACAATTTTATTGTAATATGTTTCTACAATATCTGAACCCACACTTTGGAAAATAAGTACCTTGTTTGGGAAACAATACAAACGTACTAAACATAAATTCTACTACACACCAAAATAGACTGATTAAAATCAACCTTCATAGGAAAATGCACCTTTGAGCCAGAGAAGCACCAAAATTAATTATGTTAAAAAACTGCAGTTGGAAAAAAGTATGTTTATTTCTGTCATTGATTGAAATATCAAAATATGGTCAGTGGCGTAGGTACTCCGAAAAAATTTCATCAATGATAATGTGAACTATCTCCCTGTATATTTATTGAATTGATATATTCCGTGCACATTCACGATAGTGAATTGTCTTACGAATTTTACAGCAGTACCTTCAAAGAATTTCAAAATATTCAAGAAAATCTGGAAATGAATTTATTCTTCAAGGCCCTCAGTTGAAATTACAGAATATTTCATATATAGGTAAGGCAAAATGATTATAGATATTTTCAAATTCAGTATGAAACTTATGAAAGGGCCTATCCATAATGTTCATAAAACATCCAAAATAGGTACAAAAATATAAAATGTATAACTATCAACCAATTTATTATAATACATAACAAAATTATTTCAAGTACAAAAATAGTATTCAGAGCTCATTTCTTCAAGAAATTTGGCTGAATGGTTATATGACTGTTCTCTAATCTAGTTTCATATCAAATTAACATCTCCCTTTTTCACTAGACCTGATACACTGTTATATGAAATGAGTATAGGTGTTCCTGCCCTGAAATCTGCTAAATCATCACCATCTGTTCCATCATCAATTATTACACCTTCTACATCAGTTTTCGATTTTACAAAGATGAAACTGTGTAGATTTGGCTCAATAATTCTACTACTCCAGCTCTCGGTTGGCAAACCAGGATAGAAGTTCAACAATTTGTCAAAATAGAACTCTAAGCCTAGAAAATAAATATAGTTATTAGTTGTAGTTCATGGAAAGGAATTGAGATTCAGTGAATGATACTACCCTGGGAGAAGTTTCTAGCAAATACTGACTCTTGTTCACTCAAGTATGATTCTTCCCCCCTTCTGGATCTTTCAGCTTCTTCCTTTAGTATATGTGTGGAATAACATTCTATCTTTTCCAGTCTTGTGCGCAAATAACTTGAGACCAAAAATCTCAGTCTGTCTACCTCTAGCTGATGGATACTCTTTTTGAAATCGCTGCTATCCAAGCCTTGAATATTTTCTTCCATTGACGTTACTTGGGCTAGAAGACAATCGACTATTTCTGATCTATGAGGGAGAATCTCTGGAGCAAACTTTTCATTTATCCAAGCTCCCTCCATCATTTCTATCACTTCGGCAGGGGTGAGTTGGACGTCTTCCTCTTCATCGGAACTTAATAATAGGTTTTCTGTATCTTCAGAGTTTTCCATTGAAAAATAAAAATTACGGACGGAAAATAAAATGAAATAGTATGCAAGGTTATAATCAGTGTTATGTTATGATTCTCTTTTTATCAACTTTACCTCACTTCCTTACTAGTTCCAATACTAGTTCTTACGTCTTACCTGTCAATGAATACATGCTACTCTGCTTCTAGTCTACTGCCATGTTGATTCGTTGTTCTTATGATTCTTAACCAACTAGGTACGTGCTCTACAATCCTCTTCTCTCATTGTACGTATACAGAGAATTTATATCAAACTCGAACGTGCCCGAACTATACATCTCTATGCCTATACAGGGTGATTCAACGAAAATTTGCATTCCCTGCCTCGAAATATGCCATAAAAAGTTTCAACAGACAGGTATGAAGTTCTGGAATCGTTATGTTTTTGATAGATACCATATTTATAAAGAGGGGGTTGAAGTGTTCTTGAAAATCCGCCTATATTATACAGGGTGAGTCACGATCGAGGAACTGCAGTACGAATAGAGTCCGCTGTGGTGAATATACCAAATATACTTATATCATTGTCGATCTAAATGAAAACCTAGTAGGCGACCTAGTGCGAGGAGGTATAGCTCCTGATGCCTACTATTTACTAACTATACAAGAACTACCTAAAAGGTTGTCATCTAGAACCAAGAACGATAGACCATTTAATGGTCTATCGTTCTTGATCTAGAACGACAATGCATATATAATGTCTTATTCTTCTCTTCTTCACTCATACAGTGTGACCATACGTACCGAGAGCTTCACAATTATCAACGAAAATATCTTGGTTGGATTCTTCATGTTTCCTCCACCGATTTAGAATTATGCCACTTTCAGTTCTCCATATACATCGCGTTAACTCATGGAGATTTATACCCTGTATAATTATTCGAAAAAGTCTAGGCCTGCGCTGTTTTTTCCAATTTCAATCATTGTTATATTTAGGTAGTTTTGCTCAATTTAACATGTAGGTACGTACTAAGCTATTCTGATGTGTAATGAGATTAATTTTCAATAAAATCGAGTTGCCTTGTGAAACCTTTGATTGATTTAATTGACAGAGATTGGAGGACCGATTATTCCTCTCATTGAATACCTTCATCAATCTAGATGTGATTTCACTTGAGACATCAACAATAAATGTGTATGTAGCATTTTCTGGACGCACAATATGATTCTTCCAGGGACGCTACGATACCAGTATAATAATCGAAAAGAACCTCACATTCAGAAATGGTCGATGGTCTTCTGAACCTCACATTCTGATTATAATGTAACCTCAATGTGAGTCTGATTTCAACGTGAAATCTGGAGTCACATTCAGCTAACTTTTGAGTCCCATTCAGCATCTAAATGTGAAGCAAAAAATGACCAAAAGGGTTCGAAATAGAGGATCTGGAGAGGTCCGGTGTGATTCACAAATCGAATCACGGTTGTGATATCAGTCATGAATGTGAAGCGTGCTGACATCTCTGAGATCTAATTTGTGGTTTACTGGGCAAGAATAAGGTTATAATGGGAAAAAAGTTGCGTACCCAATAACGGCCCCAGAAAATTTTCAGAATGTTTTACATATAGTTTCTTCAGTTATATCGAAAAAAGTGAATTTTTGTAAAATCTAATTTTTGTTTTCGTTATTATTTATAGAGATACAGAAAAACGCTATGTGACGTTTCGTATTCGTAGAACCTGATTATGTGTTCACAGATTCTGATAACTTTTTCTATTCTGAATTCAATCATGTATCTTTTGAGTAAAAGTGGTTTCAATGTGTTTCGACCTAGTTTTATAGTCATCTTCATTGTTCTTTCAAAATTCCAGAGAGATAATACACCATATATCGGTTCCACTTCATTCAGATTGTTTCATGTTGATGGATTCTGTAATAAATCATCCTTGAATGTTTCCCTCTTATCATAGATTGATATGCTCGATAATAAAATATGTCTCATAAGAGCAATGCAATTATGGAAAAATTACAGCGGTAATTGCGCACTGTGGAAAAGCGAAGATTGCACGGCAAAACCGTCGAGTCGCCAACATTTCTTCGAGAATTTTTTATTCGTGAAATGAATAGATATAGATAGTCAAGTAGCTATTCAGGGTGAGTTCAAAATTCGATGTAAATATTTTAAGGACGTATTGTCGATGAATTGCTATCGAACTATATTCCTCTGGTTTCTCGCCGACACACACTACATAATTTTCGATACAAATACAATTGTAACTAATCTTATCCTGATGGAGATGAAAAAGATTGAATGGACAGGAGATCCGAGAGGGATCACCAACCAGTCACAACATTGCATAATCAATATCATTAGATGTCATCAGAGGACAGTCGTGGTGTATTATTACACCATATGTTTGAGGAAACTTTTTTACGTCATCTCGCATCACATCGTAGTTTCGTCGCAAAAACACTTCGCTTTTCCATCACAATTAACATATCGTAATTACATTGCAAAAATCATATCGCTGTTCAATCGCAGAGAACTTATCGCTGCCACGTCGCATGGATGAAACTTGAGTTTTCGCCGGTCACATTTGTTAAATCGCTGTGATATCTCTGTGATGTAACTGTGTTTGCTGGGTGTTGTACCTTTTGCAGAGTTCTTATATATTACACACGAGCGTGTCTATATATATATATATTTTCTTTTTCATATAAATGGATGAGCGACTAAAAATACAACTTTATTCATGGATGCTGAAATTTTTCGAATGTCGCCTATTAATATCTCAAAAAAACTTGCAAAAAACATTTGCTCGTTAAACATTGATTTCATTGCATTTTTATTAATTTCACGAATCCGAGATCTAAATGAGGTTCTCATGATACGCCAGTGGCCACTCTGTTATCTGCGAATTGATTTGAATATATAAATTAAATTATATTATACCTCACTAATATAGAAATAAACAACAAAATGTCTTATCGACAATGGTCATTTTATTTAGATAATTCGTTTGAATTTATATTGTGTTAATAGGGTAGGAGACACCAGAGATCTTTCAGAAGCAGGTTTAGGTGATATATAGTCTATAATGTATGTACGCTGGTAAAAGCACAGTTTATGGTAAAAGTAGGTAGGTAAATACATATCATACCTACATCACTAGTGTAACTTATAATAAAATAATGCGCCGAATACAAGCTCTTAGATTAGTCGTCCAGACGAAAAGTGTCATTCTCAACAAAAGGAAACTATCCCTGCACGTTAAAGAGGAAATCAAGCATGCTTTGGAAAAAAAACAGCCAGTGGTTGCCTTGGAATCCACCATCATCACTCACGGCATGCCATTTCCTCAAAATATCGAGTGTGCCAAGCAAGTCGAGGATGTTGTTCGTCAACAGGTAAGATTAAATATTCGATACCATAGGAGTACGGAAACTTTTTCTCTAGGCGCTCACTTATTAATATTTGTGTAATAATAATCAAGATTGCAACTTAACACACAAAAATTTCGTGGATTTTATGTCAAAAAGTGGATGTTTGAGGCTGCTATCTGGATTCTTGGAAATAGTATAGTACAGATAGTGATTTATATTTCCCAATTAACAGTCAATGCGAGAATTGATATATGTTCAAATTCTACATGAAAAAAAAAAAAAGAATTCACTTCCACAGTAGGAGTGTATACTTCGTCATAAGTTGCATAGGTTTGATTGTGGGGAATTTCAAAATAGGTGTACATTGAAATATGTACTGAGAGCTCTGATCGAGGAGTAAAAGTGGTCCAATATTTTTTTCAATGAAAAAACAGTAAAACACAAAGTTGTCGGTCCACCACAAAAATTATATTTACAAATCATGTTTGTGACTAGTTTCGGCTCAACGGCCATCTTCAGACACATAAAAATACCTAAGGAGATATGTGGAGATAAGTTTAATAAGTTAAACAACCACATGAGATGCATCTTATGTCATTGTACTTGACTGCAAAGTTTCAAAAATTTCGTTCCTTTCGTTTCAAAGATTAATATCTTGTTTCCATATATCCATATCACAACCCTTTACTGACGCTAGATTTCTGAAATTTTTGACAGATGCGGAACCTCATGAAAAAAATTGTTTTTCGCAATCTAAGCTAGTCAGACCAAATATTTTCAGGATCTACATAAATAAGACCTATAGCTACACAAATCTTTGAAAACTTTACAAATATATCTTACAGAAATAGAAGCCAAATTATACTGTTTAAAAAATTCTTTCGTTTTTTATTATTTAGGGTGCAGTACCTGCAACAATCGCCATTATCAATGGAAAAGTTGAAGTGGGGCTGACCGAAGACGAAATCAATATACTGGGCGACACCAAAACCAGTGTGCCCATCAAGGCATCTAGACGAGACATCTCCTATGTAGTGAGTACCAAATCAAATGGTGGAACCACTGTCTCCGGAACACTTTTGGTTGCAAACAAAGCCAGAATTCCCATATTCGCTACAGGAGGTTAGTCGAATATAATGGAATCAATTTACTTATACAGGGTGTTATGTAAGTATGTGGCCAAACTTCATGTCCCTATTTTTTTTAGGCATTGGTGGAGTCCATAGAGGGTCAGAAACCACTTTTGATATCTCCGCTGATTTGACAGAACTAGGAAGAACTGGAGTAGCAGTAGTCTCAAGCGGAGTAAAATCCATATTAGACATTCCCAAAACACTGGAATATCTGGTGAGTTTTTTTTTGTATTTCATTCGAACAAGACCCCTGACATAGTGAAAAAGTCACACTCTGTAGTGAATTTTTATTTCACAGGAAACTCAAGGCGTTTTTGTTGCGACTTTTGGTGAATCAAATGAATTTCCTGCATTTTACAGTAGAAAAAGCGGTTGTCAAGTTCCCTATTTCACAGAAAATGTCGATGTTGCTGCTCGAATTATCAAAACTCACAGGGAACTAGGCGTGCAATCAGGTGGGTAACAGTTTCGAACAGTCATGATAAGTCCACTTTTTGTGTCTAGGAACTAAAGTGAATATTTAACTCCTATGAACTAGAAATAAATCAGCTCTGACGATGATAAATGACGAATGACCGTGCTCAAATGAATCACAGTGGTGGTTACCCAATCAGCCAAAGTAACGTCTTAAAGGCGACTTTAAGACGTACATGTCGATACATAAGTACGTCTTAAAGACGTACATATTACGCCCAAGAGACGTCTTTAAGACGTCTTCAAAACGTACATTTTCCACTAATGTGTACGTCTTTAAGACGTCTTTTTTAGGTGTTTTTGGTCCATGACCTCAAATTGATCTTTCAAATTACGGAAAAATCACATAGTTTCAGTTAATTTTCACCTGTGCACTGAAGTTAGCAACAAGTGCAGACAAGCAAAAAAAAGGGAAATAAATGACTTCATCAAACGGTAGACACAAGCGGTCACCCATTCAAGTACTAACCGCGCTCTTTGTTGCTTGACTTCGATGATTATAATACTCACTTCTTCTGTTACTCTGTTTGTTCTATATATCACATAACAAGCTTTTACTTAGTTTAACACGTCCTTGTGTCTGTTTGTAATCAAAACGTGCAAGTTAAATTTGACTCACTTTGAATCGTCCGATTGATTTGAAATTTGGCAAGTAAATATTATTCCGGTGACAATTCGTTGTGATATTATTATTGAATGGAAAAAACAGAATGGCGGATCCAATATGGCGGACGATTTTCTCATTGATTATGTTCCGATTCGAATCAAAATTCAATATTCAAGATGGTGAACCAATGTGGCATATGGTTTTCTGATTATGGTCTGATCTGATTCAAAATTGGCATCTGAAGGATTTCGGGATCAGAGATTATAATTCCTTTTGTCGAAAATGAAAAATCCAAGATGTCGGCTTCAAAATGGCGGACGAGTTTTGTGATTATAGTCCGATTTTATTCAAAATTGATTACTTTGGGACTTTTGGGGTCGGAGAATATGATTTTTTTGTAAAAATTCGAGAATCTAACACGAAGGCTCCAAAATGTCGGACGAAAAAATTCAAAAACATCACTTTTGTTGAAAATAAGAAAAAACTGAACAATTGAAAATAAAAAACGTGAAGAGATGACATTTTGTTTTTCTTCAGAAAATAACTCACATTATTGTTCTATAAGTCGAATTGATCGACGTACTGGAATGTACGTCTTTAAGACGTCTTTTATACGACATGGGAGGAACGACGTGGATACGACCTAAAATGTACGTCTTAAAGACGTAAATTCGTGTACGTCTTTAAGATGTACATGGATTTATATCTTAAAGACGTACTTTATACGTCCCTGGACGTAAAGACGTAAGTAAGTCGTAAAATGTACGTCTTTAAGATGTCTGGTGCTGATTGGGTATTCCACTTATGTTAATTAGATAGTTATCATTAATTTTGTTTTCTTTTGCCACTACAGGTATGTTATTTGCTGTGCCAATTCCTGAAGAATATGCCTTGGATTCGATTGTCATAAATGAAGCTATTGAGGAAGCACTGAGTGAAGCAAAACACGATGGTATCAAAGGAAAAAATATCACCCCTTATTTATTATCAAAAATTGCATTAATAACTGAGGGACAATCACTTCAAAGTAGTATCCTTTCAAAGCAATGAATATATATGTATCTACATAATAATCTCCTGAATGTTCTGGAATGGAAACTGGATTTTCCTTATCAGGTTTAGATATCGCATTGATAAAAAACAATGCCAAAGTTGCAGCAAGCATTGCTGTGGCATTGTGAAGAAAATCTCACGAAGAGAGTGTCGACGGTACCAATAAGTTTAGAGGCGGAGAGAAAACCTGTAAGTTCAACAGAATTGTCTCGCACTTTATACAGGGTTTTCAAAATTAAGCCGGCATAGAGGTTTGTTCGCGTTCTCAAAATTAATAGTCCGAAACCATCAGAAGCATGCGCAGTAACAAATAATCGTTTGCGTTTTCTCAGGACTGTTTCGAATTTCACAGATCAATGACGGCTAGATATCTAGACTGTCTGACGGGTTATACATGACTGTCCAATCACTCAGTTCAGTGTATACTCCACCAGAGGGGTTTACTTGCCGTCCTTTGCGGAGAAGTCATTTGTTTTCTATTATTTTGAGCTTTTATACAGTTGTTTTCCAATAACATATTACAACAAATTACTAATCAGAGTGACGGGGTTTCAATCCAAATGAAACAATTTACTATTCAAAACTAATCAACTGAAAGTGGATCTATTCTGTTCTTTATTCCCTGTAGAAATTTTTTGTTTGCCATTCATAATTCATATAGTGTGAAGTACTTACACAAAGAATCTGATTATCTGATGGTTGTTATTTTCAGGTCGTGGTAGGAGGATCAAATTTAGATTGTAGTGTCATGTTAAAAACATCAGAAATTAAGGTAAGTGTATAGTTATTGCTTGAAAGAAATATATTTACAGAGTATATTAAAAACCTGACCCTCTTGCTAGGGTAGTTAGAATACTGCAAAATGAGTTGGGTTTGCTCAGTGGAAAATTTTCGTGACGGCTTTCGTTTTCCAGATACAAGGTGTTGAAAACATGTATATTATACATATGTTTTACGATTGTGTCGAAACTACTGGCAACATTGTCACGAAATTTTGCATGGATGTGTTGCCAATTGTTCCGACATAATCGTAAAAAATGTGTAAATGAACATTTTTTCAACACCTCATCGTATCTTGAAAACGGATATCGTTATCGTATATTTGTACTGAGCAAACCCAACTTATTTTGCAGTGTTCTACTTACCCTCTCAAGGGGGTCAGGTGTTTTTGAAACACCCTGTATATCAGATATATATATTGCTAGTATTGCGGTCGGTTCCTATACAGGATGATCAAGTTCAAATGACTTATATTGTTTATATATGCTTTAAAACGGGTCGCTAAACTGACATATAAAGCGTAGAAGTTTTCATTTTTTATATCAATAAAATATTGATGGAATTCGATGTTTCCAAACGGCATTTGATGATCATAATTGTGCAAATATTTTCCAGACCAAACACTTAAGTATCCATTTACCATTTACTCCCTGTACATTTTTTCACCTTTTACATTTTCGTACCGAATATGTTGTACATAGAAAACTTCGGGACATACGGACTTCATAATGGTAAGTAAATGTTTACTAACAGTACACTTTATTATATTAAATATTTATATACACATCTCGTTCATGTTTTCAACATGGAATAGCTCCTATCAACAATTACACAGTAATAAAATATTTGGCGTCCTTATACTTGAGACACTTCTTTAGGAATAAGAGCTAAATGGACCAGAACTAATAATTTTAAAAGTTCAATATACTATAATGTCATTGGAGCTATTATATCTTTCAATATACGGAGTAAGTATGTTTAATATCACATCGGACAATCATTTTTTGATTGACTGAAATATTGAGAAAAAAAAAGGAAACAGGGGCCAAGTGAAGAGAAATAATTCATAGAGATTGAACAGTTTTCAGTTCTACTTCGAAAACATATTTATAAATACATAACGAGAGCCTAAAGTTTTCGAACCATTCCCAACCTCATTGTCACGTGATGAGAATGGTTCGAAAGATTTAAGCACTTCTAATGCATGTCCCATTCATCAATTCAAGTATAGGGACCCTGTATATTATAATTAAAGGTTGAAATTGCGGAATCAAATTCGGGAAGCTTGAAAAAATTCTACAGATTGGTCAGTTGGGTTGCATTTCTAAATATATATATATATATCTAAACGACACGCCCACTATATTGAGAAAAAAACTCCATTGATTAGCTCACCACAAAACTTTGGGAAAATATGCATTGCCTGTGGAAGTATTCCCAACAACATATAATCTCCAGAAGTTGAAAAAAAATTCCAATACCTACCTCCTGTCCCTATCCTCCCTAGGAACGCACGATGTTCTTTGAACATTATAGGGATTCCCTTTCGTGCGCTCCAAGCGATAAAAAAATAGTGTAAGCATAAAATTCCAATTCCATGTATATTGATGCGACTGCAATATCTTTAAATCGTCAAAGTTTGATGGTGAACTAATCACTCTGTATAGGGACAAATTCAATAGAAACCTTATCACATTCTTTAAATATGTCTAACATACAACAATAAGCATCATAGTATATCACAACCATAATACCAAATAAATAACTAATTTTCAAACCATAATAAAGGGTCTACCAACGAAAACTTGAATCTTCTTGCAATTTTATATTAGGAGAACGATTTTTTGTTTAATGGGATGACAAGTTTTTGTTGGTAGAATTCTGTGAATGAGACAACTATCATCATAGTCCGAACGACATAAACGTATAGAGGAAGTCAAAAATATATTTTCAAAAGCTGCTTTTATACATAGAAATGAAATGTTCGAAAAAACCCCTGATGATGTATTGATTCAATTTATTGTGTCTAAAATATTTTTAACAACTGCAATATAAACCGCTTGTAAATTTTACTTTCGTCTCCAACTCTCCAATTGAATTTCTATTCGTATTAGATACATTCCATGTCATTATGAAAATAGTATTTTATGCTTCCTTTAAAATAAGCGTTATCACATTGATATTTCCAAAATATTGATATACATCAAATAACATCAAAACAAGTATTTCATGCAGTCCCTATTAAGATTTAGATAATAAATTATATAGGGTGATACAAGTATCTATAAATACTACCAGAAATATTATAAATACTTGAATCGACCTATGGAAACAGTGTTACATTTTCATAGTAAGAATTTATGATTCAATAATCAGTAGTTTAACATGAATATTATAAGGTATATTGGGTTTAAATTTCATACAGATTTTATACTATATGTACGATTTTTCGTTTTCTTTGATAAAAAATTGGTGTTTTTCTACTAGGTACCACATATTTTAACAATTTGAGATTTTTGAGGTCATGACATTTTGGAAGTTATTTTGTACCTACAGTTATTTAAACCGATGAGTTATCGCATCGGTGAATTGTGGTGATATGACTATCAATTCCTATACAGTGTTTTGCAAGAATTCGAACTGGAAAGGACCCCGCAAATTTCGAAGGTAAATTGGGTTCCGAGGGATTTTTCTCAATTTTCAGTATGATGTAGTTCATTTGGTTTTATAAAATATTTTCATTGAGTCAACCCCCAAAAATGTTTTTTCTTGCCAGGGGGTTTGAATTCACATTCTGATCGAATTCACCATGTATTTCTGAGAAAATGAACGATATTCCAAAACTTTTCATTTCATTCAACTACTTCTAAAAATAGATTCTTCATAAAAAAATATAATGGGGGGGGGGGAATTATTACCCCAACCCCTATTTTGAAAACCGAAAAAAAAAGGATTTCATCTAGCTGTCAAAAGTTATAGGAAATGTGTCATCACGGATAATTATGGAAACCGCATTTTTGCATTATTACCCTCCCCCAAATGGGGGGTGCAAATGAAAAAGAAATCGGTGGATTTCGCTGAATTTCTGATTAATTTCTCGTGATTAAACATTTTCATATGTTGAAAGTAGCGCGGATATTGTTTAAGGAGTAGGAATACAATATTGATAGTCTTTTTATTCATAATCAAATAGAAGTCCATTTTTTTTTCAAAAGGTGAATTGAATCCCCTGAAATTGAGCAGAAAAATTGGTAATTTTTAGGATTGTCACCCGATGATTTTCTGATCAGAATCGGTTCGGTTCTCAAAATAAGGGTTGGGGGAAATAATTCCCCCCCATTATATTTTTTATGAAGAATCTATTTTCAGAAGTAATTAAATGGAATAAGAAGTTTCGGAATATCGTTAATTTTCTCAGAAATAAATTGATAATTCGATCAAAATGTTAATTCAAACCCCCCTGGCAAAAAAACTGTCCATTTCTGGGGGTTGGCTCAATGAAAATATTTTATAGAACCAAATGAACTACATCATACCAAAAATTGATAAAACTCCACCAGGACCCAATTTACCTTCAATATTTGCGGGGTCCTTCAAATTGATAGGTTCAATCTGATACATGATAACAGATTCAATTTTATGAAACATAACCAAATAAAATGAGAATAGATATAGTTTCATTCTAGTGGGTGAACAAAATTCACTTCTACTCAGAACATCGAAAACTAATACGCAAATCACCAACAAGCAAATAATTTTATACCTGAAAATTCATTTGAGGTTTTTCAACACGCATTTTTTTAATGAAATTGAGGGTCACATTACTCGCATCACCAAAAAGATCAATCTTGCTGCATTAGACAAATGAAATTGGAGCGTATCGTTTAGCCAAATTGGAAGTCGATTAAATTCACGAGTTGAGTATAGTTGAATATCCCTACTTGAGCAGGTATTCGAGGCACAAAAAGCGTACTGGAATTCGTATGTAACTAACTATTATATATCCTGGTAATACCTAAGTACCTATTAAGGAATCAACTGTAAATGTCTGTAAATTCTCCCCGTTTCGTTCCTTAGGGGATCAACGCCAGCCTAGGTCATAATTTATTCAATTATTTTTCGCATAATGAAGAATTCTGAAGAAAAAAATACTTCGAAGCTCACCTCGAAATATAGAAACCTTGTGTGAATCTATTCTTGAGAGAACATGTTTTTTTGAATTCAATTTGGAACAGACAATTAATTTCTGTCTTAGTGAAGTGAATTGCTTTCCAAAGTTCCATAAATCCAGAACTGTCCAGAAAGGAAAATGAGAATGTAGGTATGTATGTAAACTGTTGCTCATTTA